TTGAATTCACTAGATTTTGATGGCAGCACCTGGCTCGACAGAGCCTACCTCAGCCACTGTGGCACAAATAGGTTGGTTTAGTGTTGTCAGGGTAATGTATTCTGAGCCTGGATGGGATGTTGCACCACTCTGAGTACGCCACTTTCAACAACTCCGAGTGTGTAGACACACACGGCCATAAAGTGCATTCATTGTCTTCTGCAGACACATTTTTTTGGTCAGTGCACCCACACCGTCATCTTCATATTGTTGGTACATTGTTCTTTTGGTGTTTTGAAAGTGCCTTTCAGTGGAACAGTTAAAAGCTGTCTTGCATTTTGTGACACATTCTGAAATGCATTTGGCTTGTGTGGAAACAGAGAACACCTCCTATTGGGCAGGGTCTTATGACATTGTTAGTCCACACCTGAACCATGGAGATTAACGTGAGAAAAACCTGAGCCACTTGGTGTTCTAGTCTACCTGGAAGATAATCAAATTGTTTTAAAATGTGGCTTAAAATGTCTGAACAATTATTTTGAGCACTGCTGTTGTTGTTGCTACTAAAGTGTTAATATCAGTTCACTCACAATGTTATTGTCTCATGTTCTGCAGAGCTCAAATTATGGGGAGAAAGGCAGGGGGCTCTTAATAAGACCCTTTATTTAAGACCCTTATTAAAATCCATCCATCTTAGCCAGAAAAAATGCTCCTGTAGCCTTCTAAAAACAGTGACTGGGGTGGAGGGAATTAGAAAACGATAGCTTCACCTGTTCTCCTTTCCCCACAGGATTGAGTAAAGGCTATGAGAACTTGACTCTATACAGCAGATGTTTATCCTTTGTTCCATGAGCATTACCCAGGGGTTCTGTGTAATTTTACAACCTCCTGCCTCTACTTCACTCTCCCGCTTCTGCAGACCAATCATCTAAGTTTCACACTGCAAATTAAAAACTTTTTTTGGAGTGAGATTCCCCCTCAAAAAAGATTAAATAGAACATACCCCAATGTTAGTAGCTTATGCTGGAGGTGTCAGTTTAATCAAATTTTCCATATTCTCTGGTCAGCTTCATAGAGCAGATCATATTGGCACCAAATATTAATGGAAATAAGTGAAACTGTGGAATACGAACTGCATCAAGATCTCTAATACAGTAATATTGTTTGGATACATCAAGGAAGATGCATTACAGGAAGATGAATAAATTATCCTTCACCTTCTTATGTCACCCTGGCTTTAAAGCACATGATTTCCCCCCAAAGAGTCCTGGGAACTGTAGTTCCCATCTCACAGGAGTACAATCCCCAGAATCCTTAACAAATTGCAGTTTCTATGTTTCTTTGGGCGAAGTTATGTGCTGTTGGATGTGCATTAAATGTAAGGTGTGGATAATGCCTATATGTCAAGCATGTGGAGTGGGGCAAGAATAAGATCCTCCAGAAAAAGAAAATTGGCTAACCAAGTTCTGAGATATGGTTCAAATGCTAAAACTTACAAATATAATAAGGATTAGGGAAGGCCGACAGCAAGATGATTCATTGAAATGTGAGGCTTGTTTATATCATACTGTATTGGAATGTAAGGATGCAGGAGGAAACAAATGCATATAGTTTATTGAAGCAGACATAGATTTAAATATATTTGAAGTCTAGTTGCACATTAAATATGGCTGGCTAAAGTAATCTCTTTTTAGAACTATGATTATTTTATAAATTAAAATAAAAACATTGGGTTGCCTTATATTGAAAAATGTTGAATGTCTTTGTACAGTATGTATCCAATATTTCTATAACATTTCTGTATTTGTAGACAAATTAATTTAATAATGGATTTTTGTCTTTAGTGCTTATGATAATAAAATTTATATTCATAAAAAGGAAAAAAAGAAAAGTTAATCTCGAGTGTCAATATAGTGTGTCAAGGATGAAATATGTGATTTGCACTAAGAAGATATCAATGTAACTTTCTAGAAGATTGTGAACATACGCAACCTATCATTTATTTTTTTTGTTCATAGTCGGCCTCAAAGACAGAGAAGAGAAACACATGGAGAATCACACAAGCAAGGCAGGTATGCTACTAAAAATGGAACAGGCCAACATCCTTTCCTATGCCTTCTCTCCTTTGTAACCACCCCTACCCTCAGCAGAAGTCAGTACTGATAAAGTTTTCAGATCACACCCATGCCAGTGTAACTAGCAGAGTAACACAGCAGAGCTTTAAGATCTTGGTTCTTTTCCATTGTCAGCTATTTCAGACTTGACAGTGAGGAAAACTCTTTGCCACACAGTTCAACGTGAAGTGTTTGAGAGCCTCAAGTCACAATTATTCACACTATATACATGAAGTTAGAAGATGCTGGTGCATCATAAGCTATGCACTACTAATAACTAAGTATAATAACCTGGGCTTAGGAGGTTGTAGTAAACATGGCACAAGAGACTCAAAAAGGGGAGAGATCCACACAAAGCTGCTGGATGCTGCTAGCTTTACATCAGCCAACACACATACACACAGGGGAGGCAGGGAGAGAGAGACTTCTCCTTTGGGCAGGAAGTCATGCCAGAAGCCTATCACTTTGAGCTGTTTTCAGGAGGCATGATTGTTGTCTGGGACCAATAGCAGGTGGTAGAGCACCTGCTTTGCACGCAGGAAGTTCCTAGCATCTTCAGAAAGGGCTGGCATGGAGCCCTGTCTGAAACTGGAGAGCTGCTGCCAGTTAGAAGAGATTAAGTTAGGTGGACCAGTGATCTGATTCAGTACAAAGCAGCTTCCTATACAAAATTAAATCCAGGGGTATGAAAGCCAACGGAAGATGCTACCACTCCCTCCCATTCCGCTGGGTGATACTGGTAATGGTGAAAACAAGCAGCCAGCCAGCAGAGCTCTTGGTCTCAAGTCTATTTCCAATGGTTACAGTGGAGCAAAAGTATTTAGGCTCGAGTACCACTACCAAGTCACTGTCAACATATCAAGTAACCAGCGTGTTGCAAACTTGAAATCGAAGCTGTGGGCCTGAGCAGCAAATTACCTCAGCCCTGCTTTCCAGATAAACCAGGCACACATCCAGCTCAGACTGCCTAGACTGTGCAACCAAATTTGCTTCCCAAGCAGAACTAGCACAACTTTATACTCATCCAGCTAAATGCAGCCTGCACATCAGCCCTGTATGAGGCCTGTCGCATGCATGGCAGCTTCCCGATTTGACAAGCCCAGACAGACAGGAAGAACTGCTTTGCCACATCTCCAGTGAGCTTCCCTACAATGCTGATGGGCTACATTTGGCTTCTGGGGGGTGTGTGTGGAGGTGGGCCTAAGCTGAGGTGACTGTTCTGAAGTAACTGCTTCTGTGTTTTCGCCCTCCCCTCTTTAAGGCTCTCTTTGCTTTTCCTAAGATATCTGGAGCAGGTATGGAAGAAGCCTTTTCTCTGCAAACGTGCTTCCGGCCTGGCTGGGTTCCCAACTTGCCACATTTGCTCTTGGGCTGCAGCCAGTTGGCTTTTCAGCATTGTTTGTTTAATGCCTGTCACAAAACTATCTTAGACTTGCTTACAATTCACTTCTCAGTGCTTCCTGGCCCTGCCCCTATTCCTGTTTACTTAGCAATTACGGTAAAGATACATTAGATAGCGTGCTACACGCTGCACAATGTTGTGTTCATTCAATAGGGACTGAAGAATCTGAAACGTGCTTTAGCACTCCTATCACACTAGCTGTCTAAAAATACACCAGGTCATATGGGGTTATTTTTCAAAGGTTTTGCATAGCTCCCCTACTAGTCCGTGGTTGTTGGTGGGTCCAGTTACTTGAGCAGAGCTGGAGGAGATGAAGTCAGTGACATGTCAAATGTCATTTCATCTCCTCAGTCTGTAATCTTATATGCTCTTTTCTGAGAGGAGGTTCCATTGAACATTGCAGAACTTACTTCTGAGAAAACAGGCATAGGATTGAACTGCCAATGAACTCGGCGAGGTTATCCACCACTCTAGGAAATATTGGGGCTGGACTATTTTTTAGGCATTTAACCAATACAATTACTTGATTTGTGTCGCCACACACCAGATTAGTGTTCTGTGAGCCCCCTGGAGAACCCACATTAAGGAATAGTGCAGTAGTACAGTTGTGTAATTGTGCTTTTCTCTTTTTCCACATAGTCCAATATTGAAACGAAGTCCTGATATCACCAAATCACCACTTACAAAGTCAGAGCAACTTCTGAGAATAGATGACCATGACTTCAGCATGCGGCCAGGTTTTGGAGGTATGACATGTAAACTTCTGTTGATAATCTCTTTTCCTCTCTGTGTTTTCTTAAAAAAAACTCTTAGTGATTTTCTTAAATAAAAGAAGTCAATAGGAATACTCAATATCTACAGGTAAAGGTATTCTCTTGCTTTAACCCTGAAGTTTAGCTTTCATGCACTCCCCTCAGGAGTGGCACGTCCTACTTTGCCGCCTGAGGCAAAACAGGAAGGTGTCATTCCGCATCACCAAAGCCTCCCTTACCTGGGTCATGTGGCAGCAGCAGTGATGGCGGGTTCTGGCAAGATCACATGGAGTGCACAGGATCTTGTGAGATCTCCCTGGAAGCCAGTGCCCCTGCCTCTTCTCTGCCAGCGGTGGAGAAAGCAGGATGGGTAGGCCGCCTCTTGGCATTCTGCCACCTGAGGTGCTGCCTCAGCCAACCTCATGAGTAGGTCGGCCCTGACTACCCTCACAGAGTCACTGTGCATTTAGTTAACGCCAGAGCAGGCAGAAATATACGGTAATAAGTGCAGCTTCCTCTATTGCTGCATCCTGATGCTGAGAAGAGCTGTGTACATTGAATTCCTGCCTGCCATTAAGCTGTTAAAGCCGGGGTGGAGAACCTGTGGCTGTCCATATGTTGTCAGGTTACAGTTCCCATCACTCCCTGCTTCATTGACCATACTAGTTGGGGATGATGGGAATTGGAGTCCAATAGCACCTGGAGTACCACAGGCTCCTCCCCCTTGTGTTAAGGATGAAACCAGATGGTCGCAGAGGCTGGGGGGGAAATGTGACAAGCAGCTGATGTGGCTTGTTTGCTTGAGTGAAGTGGTTATATTTTGATAAAACTCAAATAATATATTTTTTTAGGAGAGCGAATGAGTGCCCGCCCCCGCTAATCCCAGATGTGGGAGGAAAAGGGTATTTTGAGGGCAATAGGGAAGAGTATTTTCTGTGGCACTTTTTCTTATTTCCGTATTGAAGGGCTCAGCTCTGGTTTTTAAAACGGGTTCAGACGCCTGACTGAAATTAAGCCACAAATATGTCTGTGACCTTATTTAGCTCAGTAAACGCTCCTGTTGTGCTAAAGTGCCTTCAGTTTGGCTCTATCATATTCCTCATATAAGAACATAAGAACTGCCCTTTGCTTGAGGGTTATTACAAATGGTGGTTTAAATGTGACGTTTGTTTGGCTTTGCTTGCTAGTTCATCTCTCTTAACTGATGGGCAGCTGCCTTTTTGAAAAGCTTAGGAACAATGAGCTTTTGTTTGTTTCTGCAGCGTATCTCTTGCAAGCTTATTGGCCTATCTGAATTGCCAGAGAATATATTTTTAAGTACAATGTTATGTGCAGATAAGTACAATTCCCTCATAAACTTAAATTATAAATGGAAGCCTTAGAACCCCTCCAGACTGGTATTTTATTGTGGATGTATTCTGTGGCACATGTTGGGCACATGTTGGATTAAATCCACTTTCTTTGTGCTTTCTTTCCCCAATGCTATTATATCATCGCTGTCTGAAAGAGCCACAGTGCAGCAGAAACAGGACAACCCTCTACCCCACAATAACATTTGTTACACGAACACCAGGAAGCTGCAGGATAAGCATTTATTTGAAATGAAGACCACAAACGTGACTGGCAAAATACACTTTGACTGGAGGAGTGTTTGAGGAATAGAGCAGAGTATATTGAGTATACAAAAACAGAATCCTGAGAATACAAAAAATTAGGCATGCCTGTTCTAAAAATGGGCATGCCTTCTATTAAAAATAAATTTCATGGCATTAAGCTGAACCTTACTGCCTGGTTGGGTCATATTTCTCTGCAGATGGCAGTGAAATCCCAAGGCTTTATTTCACAGCGACTGTGTGTGTACGTGCACATTCGTTTATTTTAGAGGTGAGGAACCTCAGGCCTTGGGGCCAAGTGCAGCCCTGTAAGCCTTACCTATCTGGCCTTTGGGAGTTGCCTAAGGCCACACTCCCTCCTCAGGCCCCACCTCTCACCAGCCCTGCTTCATACCCCTCTCGAGTGTTTTTGCCTGGCTGGAATGTGCCTTTGAAGACTGATAATGCCTCTTGGCTGCCCGGATGGAGAACTCAGAGGGGCATGTGGGTGTTTGCAGAAACTAGCCTACTGTAGAAGAGTAAAATTTACATTTCTTGCTCCACCCACTTTTGTCTCCAGCCCTGCCTTCTCACCACCACCATGTGGCCCCTTGAATGCTGCCCAGAAGGGAATAAAACCATCAAATTGAAAATGGTTCCCCAGCCCTAATATATATAATATGTCATCAACTAATGCACCATTTTGCTGACCTAGCATTTTCACTACAGAAAGAATATTTTAGATTGCTCCAGGTTAATGTTTTACTTCCAGCATTGTGGTTGCGTGCTATACAAAATCCAAGCTTTTAGGACAGAGGATTAGGAAAACACGCTTTCTTATGCCCCACCAGATTAAAGAATGTTGTAATTTATCTACCCTTTCCTGGCTGACAGATGGTCATTCAAATCCAAACTACCGGTACTATTTTACCCCTTGATGAGGGAAGCTTATTGTTACTACATGCGCAATATGCACAATACAAGTTCAATTAGTTGTAAAAGGTTGGGGGTTTTTTGTTGGTTTTTTTTGTCCACCACTGTTCATGAACCTTTATGCTTTTAGCAAATCTCATGTTCTGTAATTGCATTATTAACTCGTGTAGGAGGATTTGTGTATGCATTTTACTAAGATAATCTTTGCTGAAATAGAAATTCTAATATTTATCTCCTAAGTATAAAAAGTGGAAAGTGGTACACCTATTTGGCTGAGTTCAAACAAGTGTGTCTGCAACATCATGACTGTCAGGTGGTTATAGCACTTGGGGAAGGACTGTAGCTCAATGGTAGAGCATCTGCTTAGGATGCAGAAGGTTCCATGTGCAATCTCAGCCATCTCCAGGTAGAGCTGGGAGATTATTTTTTTTGTCTAACATCCTGGAGAGCCACAGCTATGTAGACAATGCTGAGCTAGATGGACCATCGGTTTGATTTTGTATAAGGCAGCTTCCTATGTTCCTAAGTGAGAGCTAAGTAATGAACCTGCATGTGTGAATCAGCCATATGTGTTTTGCGTATATATCAATATCAATTTCATTTTTGATGTCCTGGCTTTTTAGATATTGGTCTGCCCAAAGGGACCCCCCGTGCTTCTTACTTTGTGAGTAGGGGTGGCACATTCAATCTTCATCCTCTCTTGCTGGAGGAGTAAACGATAAGCCTCCTGTGTGTTGCTTTCACTGCGAGAATCAGGCTCCCCCACCTCTGTAATTAGTTAAGGAAAAACACAATGCATAGTTTACCTGCTCCATATTAAACCAGCCTTTGCCAACCTGGTATTCTTCCGGTGTTTTTGACTACATATCCCATCAGCCCCAGCCAGCATTGCAGTGTAGTCTAAAACACCTGAAGGCCTCCAGTCTGTGAAGGCCTCTAGTTTGCCTGGGAACCAGCCCAGAGATGCAAATGGCCTGTGATCTCACCTAGCAACTGTGTGCTTCTCTTTAATGTTAATGTTTCGTTGTTAGAAGGTTCAGCTCGGCCCTAAGTTACTTCTTGGCAGCTAATGACAAATAACCCAGGTATGATTTGAAGTCCTTTGCTGTGCAGTAACTGCCTGTGTCCTTAGACATGGCAGCCAGCAAACCATTTTGCATGCTTCCCTTCTTTGTGAGAGCCCTACTGCAAAATACTTCTTCATATGTGCTCTTTTAAAAACATATAAACAATTCTGATGCGTTGCATGCTGTGTTTCTTATAGGCCCTGCCATTCCTGTCGGAGTAGATGTACAAGTTGAAAGCTTGGACAGTATTTCAGAGGTTGACATGGTAAGTGTCATGCCCATGTTTGGATGGTTGTTCTTTCTGAACAAGAGGTTTTATGGAATGGGCTGCTCTGAAAAACAGACATCACATTAGGAGTGGGAAAAGAGATTACTGAGTGGGAAACACTTAGGCTGCATGCACACCAAACACTTTAACCACATTGTTTCCTCCAAAGAATCCTGGTAACTGACCTACAATTCCCAGCACACTTAACAAACTATAGTTCCCAGGATTCTTGGGGGAGGGAGCACCATGACTGTTAGATTGGTTTAAGAATGCTTTAAATGTATGGTTTGGGTATGACCTAAGACATGGATTTGTACATTAGTTTCAAATCCAGTCCAATATTCCAATGGCAAAAATGTTTTTAATACAGCACATCTTTAACTATGGAACAGGGGCAGCCAAACACTTGTAGGATGTCTTTGCCATTCTACCTGAATCTTACAATTGCAGTGTAAAACTTATTTCCTTTATTACATTGGACTAAGAAATATTTATGGATTAAAAAATAGTAATGTGAATTAATCATGCCAACTTAGCAGTCTGAAAGCACATCAAAGTGCAAGTAGATAAATAGGTACCGCTTCGGTGGGAAGGTAAATGGCGTTTCCGTGCACTGCCCTGGTTTGCCAGAAGCAGCTTTGTCATGCTGGCCACATGACCCGGAAGCTATACGCCAGCTCCCTCGGACAGTAAAGCGAGATGAGCGCCGCAACCCCAGAGTCGTTCGTGACTGGACTTCACTGTCAGGTGTCCTTTTCGTTTACCTTTTTAATGTGAATTAAATTTTCCCTGTCTCAATTTCTGGCTTATGCTAGGACTTCACCATGACACTTTACCTTAGACATTACTGGAAAGATGAAAGGCTATCGTTTCCAAGTACCAACAACCAAAGCATGACCTTTGATGGCAGACTAGTGAAAAAGATCTGGGTGCCGGATATGTTCTTTGTGCATTCCAAACGATCCTTTATCCACGACACCACCACAGATAACGTCATGCTCCGGGTCCAGCCAGATGGGAAGGTGCTTTACAGCTTGAGGTAAGGAGAAATCCACAAAAATGCTTGGTTGAGCTTCTGGAAGCATGCCGACCTCATCTCTTGTACGGCTGCGTGCATGAATTCTCAGTGGGTGTAACCCAGATCAAGATGTATCACGAGTTTGTGCCACTAACATTATCCAAGTTCAGAATAACAGATGACTTAGTGTATATGGAGAGTCATCTGGTGGACGAAGCCATTGTCAGCTTCAGATTTGGAGGGGCCCATGAGAACGATGCTCTCAGTGGACCCTCTCCTTTGCCACGGCCATCACTGCCCATTCCCTTGGGTCTCCCTCTGGACCCACTCTTCACACTGCCCAGAATGAGATGCTGCTGTTCCTTCTCTTTTGCATTTGTCACTGCTTGCAGATTTAGCAATAGCAACAGCAAGGAGGAGAAGCAGGGCAAGGGTGCTCCAGAGCTCAGCAGTGGACCTTATGCTGGGCTGTCAGGGGTTAGATTCACTAGAGATAAGTAAGCATAATATTTGTTATCAGTCAATTTCACAACTTGTAACAAAAGTCAAGAATGGCAAAGGTCTCCTGACAGTGTTGTCTGGGTGTTGTCCTGCTTTGGGGATTCGCGTGTGCCAAGTTTGGTTTGTATAAGACAACCCTTTTTTGCTCCTAAGTCAGCAGGGTACTTCCCACCACAAATCTGGTTCACTTCTTTTCAGCGCAAGCCAGACCTGTTAATTCAGAAGCAAGACCCTAATTTCTTCCCTAATCAGTGCAGTCAACACAGCCTACCCTGTGCATGTTGAATGAGACGTACTTCCATTGGATCATTGGGACATCTAGGCAGAAGCACCAGCTTCTCCAGATGATTGAGGGGGCCCGACGCAACGTCTTGATGTCACACACATTGTACAATGTCCTGATGTCGTGCATAGGGCCCTTTGAATATTGAGGGGGCCCCACCCTCTTAAAAAAAGATAGGGGTCCCCATAGTGCCTTGGTCCCAAGGAGCCGGCGCCCCTGCTCCTAGGTATGTGTGCAGAGGACTACAGCCTTAGGGAATGACCCTAGTTGAATGCAAAGGAATTACTTCTCCATATATAAAGAATTGTACTGCCTTGAAACATGTGAAAGTGTTACAAACTAGGCATGCATCCAACGTGCATTATTCCTGCTTTGTGTTTTCTTTTTAAAATACTGTATGTCGCTTTTTAATCATGTAAAAGGAAGACATTTTAAATATGCTTATTCTGTTTCTAGGGTTACTGTAACAGCTATGTGTAACATGGATTTTAGTCGCTTTCCCCTTGACACGCAAACGTGTTCACTGGAAATTGAAAGCTGTAAGTAAACGGGATCTCTGCAGAAGGCCCAATGCTGATGCCTCACATTTTGTTTCAAAATAGGGGTTGTGTGCTTTTATTCTGAAAGGGTGTTCCTGTGCTTTCCATAGCTGTGTGCTGGAGAAATTATGCAACCTCAGCATGAGTGCTGTGCGCACATAATTGGTACTGCTGCCCTAAGAAGAGTGAGCACAGCTCACAATGAATTGTCCCACAATTCTTTTTTTCTTTTTTCCCTCACAAAGATATAGGAACAAACACCCTGCTTCTTCTCTGTGGCTACTTTAATTTCAGTAAAGCCCTCTTGCAAAAGGAGACCGAGTACAAACTCCCTCCTCTACTGCCCCTGCAAGTCATGGCCCTTGCAGGTCTGTGACTAGATTGGATGACGAGGAGCCTAAAATAACAATTATGTGTGGTTTTTTTTAAAAAAATGTTGCGGAATAGCCTACAGCTTCTACTCCAGCAAACAATCTACAGACAGTACAGTGCCCCTTGTTTTCTTATCTCTTGTTGTGGCTAATTACTGGGATCATAAAGCATTGTGCAAAAAAAAGGAGTAAGTAAAATTATTAATGTAAAAATTTATAAATTAACAGCTGCCCACCTTTTGCTTCCACTTGATTAAAAAAGAAATGGATGATATTTTCAGAGGTGAAACTGGGAATTGCGAAGAAGCAGAGGCAATACATGTCCTCCACCCCCCAACATTGATGTTAAAGACTCTGCTCTCAGGTCCTTTCCTTATTCTCATATATGTCAACAGCAGCTATTCACTTAAATGAGAGAAAAGTAAACAAGAGCTCATATTAAATAGAAAATAAAATCCTGTCACTGGACTATATGGTGTATATCTGTTGACAGTAAGATAGCATTCGGTACGCGACTTAGGCCACAGTGCCAACTGGCTTCATTACAATAAATGAGTTAATATTTCCTCCCTTTCTAGATGCTTACACTGAAGATGATCTCATGCTGTACTGGAAGAATGGCAACGACTCCCTGAAAACAGATGAGAGGATATCGCTATCCCAGTTCCTCATACAAGAGTTTCACACTACCACCAAACTTGCCTTTTATAGCAGCACAGGCGAGTGAATTTTGACAATAAAGCCTGGACAAGGCTCAATTATTGTCGATTTTTATGGAAATAGGTTTGATCTCTACTTGGAGAAACTGTCTTTGGACTTGCCAGAGAGGCTGCTGTGGCATCATGTCACACTTTGTCTTCAAAGGGCTTCAAAGGGCAAAGGGCTCAGCAGCCGATGCCAGATTGTGCTCCTGAACCCCAAATTTGGGTTTGTGCACAATGCTGTAACCCAGTATCTTTGGTACTGGGTTCATTCAGAGAGCTTATTATTAACAGGGTGATAATCTCATCCTGTAGCAACTGTGTTTTGAAAAGGCTATTTAGAAATGAGTTGCTGTGCAGTAAAAGCTTCAAAGTTCTATGACCACCACCATGCAAACAAGATGGTGGTCATCTTTGGGGACTGCTGTTTTGAAGTCTCTATTATTCAGGAGTACATCTAAGGTGTGCAAAACGTTTGGATAGTTGTAGTTATATGAGGTCAGCACCCTTCATAAACTACAGTTCCCAGGATTTTTTGGGAGAATGCAATGACTGTTAAAGTGGTACAAGATCACTTTAAATGTTTGGTGTGGATGTGGGCTTTTGTGATTGACTTCTACCTTCTTTGTCTCCTGTAGGCTGGTACAACCGCCTCTACATCAACTTCACTTTACGCCGGCATATCTTCTTCTTCTTACTCCAGACCTATTTCCCTGCCACTCTGATGGTCATGCTGTCCTGGGTGTCCTTTTGGATAGACCGCAGAGCTGTGCCTGCAAGAGTTCCCTTAGGTAAACAAAACAAACCTTGCTGTGTCTGACCTGCTCTTTTTATAGCATTGCCAATCCAGGAGGGTCTGTCTGAACAGCAGGTGACGTTGCAATGTCTGAGACTGTTTCTCACTCCCTTCTCCTATTTGTTGGGGGAGTATTAGCTGGCCATGGGGGTCTGTGGCAGGTGGAGGCCTGGATGCATCCACATTCATGGATGGCACTGTAGAAATAGGCTAAGAGTTGCTTATTTATTAGTCACTTTTCTGAGCTAAATGCTCAGAAAGCAACGTAAAATAGAGAAATAATATCAGTAATATTTGCAGAGTATGAAGCACTGAGTGGAAAATTATATTTCAGTGGCTCCATCAGTAGGCATAGCTGTGATGATCTTCTCTGGATTATTATTATTTATTGAATTTGTATTTGGATCTCCTAGTTCTCTCTTCCCTTCCCAATTCATTGCTTCTAATGTTATAGTTGTACTGTTCTCTAGCCTATGCAGAGTCCAATGAATTCATGCCCATTAGGAAATAGGCAGGGGTTTATGCTGTAGTATCTTGAGAGTTTGAGTAGTGTATATTTGCAGCACTGCATGTGACATCATAGACTCCAAAGGAGACGGTATCAGCTCCTGGACCTTTTGCTCTTTCTCTCACAAGTCTTTAGTCAACGGCACAGGGCCAGCGCAAAGCAGAATTCTGTCAAAGCCCAAGCAGGGAAATCTTTCTTTGCTGATGTAAATGATGAGAGAAAAGTCTTCAATCATAGGCATAGGATATAAAGTGGTCACTGCGCTCACACTTTCAGCAGTGATTAAACTGCATATGCAAAGCTATTTGGTTCTGACCAATATTAATTGATTGGTAATACAGGTAATACAGGGTTGTGCCCCCTGGCTAAGGGGTAATTATGCACTACTGTGACTTCAGATTGTCACATTTTGTGGTCATCTGCCTATTTATCTTCTTGTTGTGCACCACCGCTATTTCGATCCGTAACTTAAATATGTAGGAATGTCCTGTCCTTTAGATACAGTAATTATTTATACTTTTCAAATGGAATGCGGAAGTGGCACAGAATGTAATCATAGCTTAGATTTAAAATGTGTGAAACAAACTGGAAACAGTCAGATTTATCCATCCTTCCTTGAGAGACTGAATGATTTACAGCACAATCTGCAGAGAACTGAGTCTAAGTTAAATGAGGCCTCTAGGTAATTGTGCCTTGGATTCCTGGTCTGCACTACAATCCAACCCAGAAGCAAACCTCAGAGTTTTCAGTGCAGCTTACTGCCAAGTAAATATGTTTAGGACTGTGGCCTTGGTCTAAATCTGTGTCCAAGGGCTGTAAGTAACATCAGCCCACAGGTCATCCATGCATCAGCTAATCTGCACCAGGCCGCAACCAGAGAAAGGTGGAAGATGATAGCACACCATTCAAAGAAGGTGGAGCAGCCCACCTCAAGCTAGCATTTCATTTCTTAATGAAACACTTGGCCCTCTGTTTAGGGTAAACAAAGCCAACTTGTCACCAAAATGACATCTCCAAATGGATTATTGTATGTCTCCAGGGATCACAACGGTGCTGACCATGTCTACCATCATCACGGGCGTCAATGCCTCCATGCCTCGGGTTTCCTACATCAAAGCTGTGGACATTTACCTCTGGGTCAGTTTTGTGTTCGTCTTCCTTTCGGTGTTAGAGTACGCAGCAGTAAACTACTTGACTACAGTGCAAGAGCGAAAGGAACGGAAGCTGCGAGACAAGGTAAATGTAACGTCATTTGGTGCCGTGCAGATAAAATGGCTGTGTATGGTGCTTTTTTTTTCTAGAAAAATAGGTGCTGGTACTCACCATGAAGTTATTACAGTAAGTGTCACACTTTTTAACAACAACAAAGAGGTGTCTGTACTGCGTACCCTTGAGTACCCCCTGGCAAAAAAGCACTGGCTGTGTAGATTCTAAAGATGAATCAAACAACAGACAGACAGACAAGACACACACACACACACACGGGGTCTAACAGTAAAACTGCTCTACCGAAGGGTATGTTCAAACCAGTTTTTGTTTTTTTACACGGGTTTGATCTACACATGCAACATGAGATGCCTGAATACTAACTTTTTTAAAAAAAGGTAGAAATGGTGCAGCTCACTATGCCACCTCTGAACGTTTCCATGTTAAGAGCAGCCTGCTAGATCAGGTTAATAGCCAGCATCCTGTTATCACAGTGGCCGAGATGCCTATGGAAAGCCCCAAAACAGAACCTGACTGCAACAGCACTCTCCCCAGCAGCTGGCATTCAGAGGCATGTTGCCTCTGACAGTGGAGGTGGAACATAGCCATCGTGGCTGGTTTATAGAATTTGTCTAACCTTTTAAACTCATTCAATTTGGTGGGCTCCTACTAGTTTTCAATTCATTTCCTAGCATGGAAATCACATTTTTCACAGCTGTCTTGGCACAGCGATGGAACACTGCACTCACGATAGGAAGGATGGTCTGGAAAAACCATCAGTTTCTTCACATGAATTTTAATGCTCATGCTATACAGCCTACACAAGCACACTGACTATCTCATATCGGACAAAATGAGCCTGAATGTGGCTTGGTTCCATGGTGCCCTCTATTAACAGAAAAGCACTTGCAAAAGTGGGGAGGTGCCCCCAATTTCCACCCTTTCCTCGGCTGCATTCGAGTATAGGGCGGTATATAAATTCGAATAATAATAATAATAGAGGGTCCCATTCTGCAAGCATATATCTGCTCACCATTTGGAAGAGCCAACTCAAAATCTAGTATGATGTATTTTCACAAATTTACCTTTATATCAGCTATCCTGGCTACTAATAATGCAGGAAATCATAGCCAGATAAGAGAAATTGTGGTTAGATGAGATGAGTCCTCGCCTATGGATTTGTGACAGAAGCAACAGTTTAAGGCTGCATTATTGCTACACTCCAGTATGTCAACTGCCAGTTTTCCCCCTTCTTCAGACCTTCTACCCTATACAGCCAGGCATTAAGATTATTCTTGAGTACAACTATCTTCCTTCTTTCCTCTACAGCTTCCTTGCACTTGTACACTACCTCAGTCAAGGCAACTGATGGGGATGGATGGCAGCTATAGTGACGGGGAGGTGAATGAACTGGGACAGTATGTGTCTGAAAATGGAGATAAACAAGACCGAATGATGGTTCAGCTGGCACTTGGCTCAGAAAGGAATTCAAGCAGGAGGAAAAACCAGAGATACAGCAGCATGAGGATCGATACACATGCCATTGACAAGTATTCCAGAATAATATTTCCAGGCGCATACATTTTATTTAACCTGATATACTGGTCCATTTTTTCATAGTTATTTCTTTAGCCAGTTTCCATGTGAGTGGGACATGTGTTAACTGTATGAAATGTCCATCAAGAAAATGTGACAATAGAGACTGTTTGATACTCCTGTTACATGAAATTCACACAACACACTCTCCAATTTATTATACTGAGACCCAAGTGGAAATCTCTGCTGAACTGCCAGTTTCACCAGGCCTCAAAATGGCCATCGTGGTCAATCAAAACAATAAAAAGTGGGGAGAGGGAGGAATGAAAATTTGCAAAGCGACAAATGCTTTTATTTCAAAAGACAATATGTGATAGGCATTTTTAAAGTACAGAATATTCTAACAGTGTCGCTATGATGGGAAGAGGAATTTCAGAGCACATCTGTGTTCCAATTACAGAAATGATGGACCATGTTAATATTTTTGTTTCAGATTGTAAATATATACAATATTGTAAAATTATCTATTTAAGTGTAAATTGCAAATCTAAACAGTGTACTGTACACTTTTACCATCAAGACTCCTCTCAAGTAAAAACCATCTACTTTTTTGGCTTACAGGCATGTGTGTGTGTCAGTCACTTGTTGATGTCACCCTCTAAGGAAAGTCAGGGACCTACAAGTTTCTTACACCTTTTTCCGTATCAGGATGCCCAATGTTGGTTATATTAGGAATAATATTGATTAAACTCACTCACTTACTGAACATTTACCCAAACTGAATATCCTGGGTGAGACCCAATGTTAATCAGATTTGATGCAGTGAAATCAATGGATTAACTAAATTAAAGCTGTTGGTTCCAATGGGTCTACTCAGAGTATGACTGCCATTGGATATCATGTCCTACAAGAGGTTCCACAGGAATTTTCAGAGCTACCAGGGATGTTGCCTGTGCCTCTCTCATATTGAGGCATATTGACATGGAAAACAGTTTCTAAAGCAGGAATGCAATTTAAACTATTGTGTTTATAAAGTAACATTTGATAATACTCTAATTATTAAGCAATTGAAATTAGTCTGCTAAGAGAGATCATATGCAGCATCACAACTTAACATGCAGGATCACAGAGGTCTTTTTAAAATTCCCATGGCCTAGGGAATTCTTCCAGTTTAAGTATATAGTCTAACAGATTTTAGTTCAGAAATGTCAGAAAACTTTACTGTGTCTCCAAGAAAGGATTATCTAGGCACCTTTATACAATTTTTATAAAAACTATGTTAAGAGAACACAGTACAGTGTTTCTGCACATCTCAGGTGCTCAAGAGGTTCACTGTTATAAACAAACCGAGTCGTGTGTTCAAGACTGAAAATGATTTTAATACATTACAAGCTCTTGGTGGTTTTTGCTGGAATGAACATCTTACTATAAAAGCACAAGGCAAGATTGAAAATGGTTGGTGACACATCTCAAGTGGTCAATACATTGCAGAACTCAGGACTGAGCAGGCAAGGTTTTCAATTTGACCTTTAAACTTCATCTGTCAAAATGGCTAAGGCAGACAAGCTTGAAGGCATCACTACACAAGAGGAAAGCTTAACTTCTTCAAGCTCATCTAGGCAACTAAGAAGCACCAGAATTTCTCTGACATTTAAAGGTCGAAAAAGAAGCATGCATTTGTTAGTTTAGCAACATACCCAGAAAGCTTCACTGAGCTAAATTAATGGAAACACATAATTGCAATCATCATCATCATCATCATCGCATACCTCATTGCCCTTGGAAAATGAATGCATTGTAGTCGCAGAAAAAGCCCAAGCAGAGGGGTGGCAGTGGTGGTTGCAGCAACAGCAGTGGGACCAGCGGCATCTCTGCTGCTGCCTCAGCTCCTTCAGGCATGCCACTATCCTGTGGTCGGCTCACTTTACCAAGGGTGGAACCGGGAGGGCGTATGAAGCAAACTTTGCCAGCGGCCCTTTAGCCTAACTTCTAGCTCGCACACACTCAACTTTGAACCCTGTCTTTTGTCTTTCTAACTACCCATTTGTTATCTGGCACAGAGCCACTTCCTTTTTGATGGCCCATACTTAGAAGGCCATAACATCACCAGGAAGGTTGAATCCATGCTGGATCCAGGAATTAGAAGGGTTTCAGGCAAGCTGTCTCCCTACCTGGTTTGTGGGTCACCCGATTCTGGTGCACGTCAAATAAATGCACTCCCACCTCCCTTGATCTTTCAGATTCAGGTGGGTGGCTAGGGCAGCTCAGAAGGGCCCTCGCACCAACGTCTGTGTGTGCAACAGTAGAGGCCTGGCTGGAAAGCTTAAAGCCTGCTCCTGCAGCTACACAAAGGATGGATTGAAGAAATATGAATTGACCCTGCCCCGTAGCTTGACCAATTACGGCTGAGCTAGGTGCATAGATCTAAAAAAAAGTGTAGACTCGCACATGCTGACCAGCTTCCATGTTAACCTGAAATGTTTGTTTTGCACTTCTCAGCAGCGGGTAAAGGCAAGAAGCAGGTAGGGGCATGTCAGCACACAATGGCACCCACCTGAGAGGTGCCAGAACTGCCCTCTTGCGCACTCTGGCTACAAAAAAACACTGAGTATGTTGAGCTGCTCAGTTGAAAAATTCATACTGTAGGCCTTACCAGGATTTAGTGAAGGATGATCAGCCAAGTAGGGGTGTGTTGCTGGATTTCTAGAGATTTATACTCAGTTATTTGGCAGTTTCCAGCCTGTTTCATAATGGAGCATACCATTTATGCTTTTAAATTATTTTAAACTTTCACCCAGAGAAGTTAAATGACAAATAAATGAATGAAATAGCCTTAATGTAAGGCATAATGTGCTTCTTCAACAGAGATTTAGAAAGTTCTGGAAGTCCTCTTTTTGAAAGTTTCTGTAAGCAGCTGGGAGCCTTATTACTATCTGATGTGACATCTAAATCATCACGTGGTGCTACTTCGTAGGTAGACATTTACTGTTAGTTTTGTTGACAATTGCTATTCTGATGGTCTGTTTTATGAGTTCCCTTGTAAGTGGCCTCTAGCAATTATTAAGAGGGGATAAATATTCAACATTTAAAAAAGATACAGCTGCATAAATCTTCTTGCCTTTATGGGTTATTCAGCTGACAGCAGGTAACCTTTGACAATGTGGAATGCTGCTGAGTATTTAATAAATTATTGCAAATTCCTTTCTTTGGCAAGCTGCCCTGCCTGATTAAATGATGCTCTCAAACCAACATCACAGGCATAATCCCCAAAGAGTGTTATTTTATCTTACTTTTTCCGTTTTGTCCCTTAAAGTTCCTGTAGTTTTGCATTCTCTGGGACTCAATTTCTTAGCTTCAGCCAAACTATCACAATGAGCAGTCTTCGTCAACTTTAACCAGACTCTTCCTATGTTTAAGTCAAGCGTATTTGTTTATTAGGATATACCTGAGAAACACAATATAATGTGCAAGTCAATTTTATTCTTACAATCCAGAATGTACTTACACACAGGATACCAAGAAAGCTGAATGTACAAAACCAAGTGATAGCATCAACAGTGGCTCACTAGAAAATCATAAAACACGTTTAGCAAAAGTACTTTTATAGCAATAAGTTTATAGTGTAGCTCAAGTTTTTATTGAAACAAAACATTCTGTGTACAGATGGCACAGGAAGCTGCTTCAGCCCCTGAATGTACCTTTTCTCAAATACCTGAATTCACTGCAAAACATTACACTTGCAAAGATAACCCTTAGAAGGTATAAAAAAAGGAAAACCACCAACTCTTGAAATATACTTGTGCATGTTTGCTGTTACATTTGTTCAAGTAAATTCACCATCCAAGCTACATATACATTTTTACCAGCCTGCTGTTGCAGGCTCTTCATTCTTCAAAACTGAATATATAGATTCAACAGCATACAAGATTTGGTGCAGCAGCAATAGCCAAGACACTAAAAAGCAAATATGCCTTTACAACAGCTTTGCAGCCTAAAAGTAATGTTGACTAAAACGTTTGTCTGGTGTCCTTGTCCTACTTAAGATCCAAGAATAACTGTTGTCTACTGTAAAGTTGCATTCTATTTAAGGAAGCAGTGAAAAAGTTGCTTTTTCTTGTTAATTCAGGTTACAGCAAAAGTGCAAAACCCTAGGATTTAGCAGTGCATTGTGTAAGAGGCCACAAATGGCACTAGTGATGAAGCGGACACTATCTAGTTTGGTACATTAGACGAAAAGCCACCTCCTAGTAAGGAGGAGCCGTATACGTCCTGTGGAATATACAAAAATGGCACTCACGCTTCAGACTTTACTTATGGCTTACTTGGCAAAAAGTCTGTCCAACCTGGCATATAGAATCACTGCATAACTGCTAGACAAGAATCAGAACTGTAAAGAAAGCCTCAGCGTTATTAACAGAAATAAACAATGGCGTACTAACAAAACTAACGTTACTGGACAAGACGTTCTGAAATTATAAACCAGTGGGACTTACTGCCTTAGCAACTCACCCGCACACAAAAGAAATCGAACACCAACCCGTCTGATCTTACAAAGAAAAGACATAAAGTTCAACCACCTCAGATACAGTCTCTAACCCACAATTTCAACATGCCACATGGAAATTGTGTATCCCTACAGGTGCTCCATGCAGCAACGATCTGTGCAAGAGGCCTATATGCAAAGCACTTCCTCTCTGATCATTGGTTGCTGGCATGGCATGGCATGCTAAAGCTGTGCAGGGATAGCCTCACATTCAATAAGACCCTTTTAATATGAGTGTGTGACTGCATAAATGGTTCCAGGTAGCCTTATGTTTATCTTATTATTGTTATTATTTTCCAGATTATTACAAATCAAACCAAATTACTGTAATTTAATACAATTGCATAAATCCTCTCCTTCCCCTGCCTGAACTTCCTCGCAGCCCCCGGAGGGCTATGAAGAACAACTGTCAAGGATCATGGGCCTGGCCGGAAACCCAGGTAGCCTTATGCTTAGACTAGATCTTTTCCTGACACTTGAGCTTTAAAGCAACTGCTGCGCAATCCATGTGGCTTACAGCTGGATTGTTTTTTCTCACTGGATTGTGCTTTGTAAACAGAAAAAAAGGTAAATTGTACTCTCCCATAACAGTAGCAAGATTCCAGCTGTTTGATCTGTCATTTATGCATATATTTAAAAAAAACAAATTAAAACTGTGATATTAAAAACCATGCAAGAAACACGGGAATTCACAATAAATCAATTTCCCTCTTTTCTTTCTTGTTCAGATAAGGAATACAGTATGGTTGGGATGGCTTCTACCACTAAAACACTACATAAGTCTCAGCCAAAATCTCCTTGGAAAGTAGGCCTCTGCTAAAGAATCAAGTATGGAACAGTAAGCAAAATATTGAAATAATGCCCATGACACTGTTCAGCGGTTACCATCTAAGCAAGTTTTCATTACAGAACACTCAGAGCAACAATCCAAGACCAATGGGTCCATAACAACATTAGCCATGCTATCTTGCAACCTTTGGGTTCATGTCAAGTGGCACGCCTGGATCCAACCTTTTTGAGTTTGCAATTTTAGCAAGTTGTGAAGCTATAACAGGAGTCTTTGCCAGGTTTTTAAAAGACTATCAGAAATATGCAGCATTCTCCAGTCAATGCATCTTGCTCACATCCTGCTTAGGCAGCAACTTGCACAGCTATATGGTTGGAGCAGAAATAACCCTGAGCTCAATAAAATATCGAGTTCACCTTTGGTACTAATGTTTTCAGAAGCAAAGCTTACACAGTTGAATGAGGAGACATAACAAGAACCTTAAGAGACACTGATCCTTTCAGTGCAAGTACTGATCAGCTCCACATCCCACTGAGGACAACTTGCCCTTGCTTACTAGAGGGAAAAACAACCTTCCAGAGCCTTTCTCCCTCTTCTGAAAAGGTGAAGAGTTATTGCAAAAACTGTGTTTAACTGGATGAAAGAAGCTGAAATACTAAATACAGCATGGTAAGATTAATATTTTCTTCTGAAGTTGACCCAACTCTTAACAGGATCAAAGTATTGAAGCATAAGTTTGATACAGTTATGCATATTAAAATTTGCTATGCCTACTAACTAGCCCATGATTCAGCTATGTATGATTTCTGTTCCCTGGCAAGTTAGGACAGTGCAACATTTGGGGAAACAGCTGTACGTTGGTAAAAAGAAAACCGCTTCTCTTCTTACAGCACTGGTGGTGGTGGGGAAAAATAAGTGCTGTGGTTAATAATTTCCTAACACGGTCTTCCAGTGCTTGCTAATGGATGTTAATTTGCTGCAAAACATTCCAACATTCAAAAGTGCAGCTCAAAATGTTGTCTTCAGAACAGTTTATACAGGTGATGTACAAAATATACATCTTTGTTTCTCCCTAGATAGATTTGTGCATTTGAGCATGTGTGCGCTTCAGTCAGAAATGCATATACCTTAAGTTCTGCTAAACTTGCTACAATTCTTTCTGTTTATGAATAAAAATAATGTAATATATTCATTTAAACCAGTAGAGCTTTTGTAACCGACTCAGCAAAATGTGAATAGCCTTTTCTACTGGACCAGCTGACAGGTAAAAATTGAGAAGAAAGGCAAGACAAAAAGAATAATAACATAATAATGGAAGTATTTGACCCTCAAACAGAATATTGTTTAGGCAAACAAGCGGGCATAATGACAGCATTTATATTGTTCTAGAATACAAAATTCTGTGCAGAGTTTTTTCCCTACAACACTTACAAATTTCACATTATGCTTAAGAGGACAGGAAATTAGTGTTTTCTTTCAGCATAAGATATGTTTATCTACTATTAGTTTAAGTAACAGGCAGTGGTACGTTATGATACCACTAATGCAGCTTAGGCAGTGGTGTGTTACATAATTATGTTTACAATCCTGCAGCATTTTCCTGGGAGTAAACCCCATTGAACTGAATGGGAGTCACTTCTGCATAGACATGCAAAGGATTGTACTTCAAGTCAATTTTGGTGTGTAGATTAATATATGCCAAATACAAAGACCAGCTTGATTAGAAGACAGCTGATCTTAGCATAGGTAAAGAATAATCTAGACAGCCTAGTTAGAAGAGGAGGAGGAGTTTGGATTTGATATCTCGCTTTATCACTACTCGAAGGAGTCTCAAAGCGGCTAACATTCTCCTTTCCCTTCCTCCCCCACAACAAACACTCTGTGAGGTGAGTGGGGCTGAGAGACTTCAGAGAAGTATGACTAGCCCAAGGTCACCCAGGAGCTGCATGTGGAGGAGCGAAGACACGAACCCGGTTCACCAGATTATGAGTCTACCACTCTTAACCACTACACCACACAAGTTAGTACTTATGAGTTGTCTAAAATGCCTCTGAATTTGTCAGGTCCAGCTACTCCAGTAGGAGTAGAACAAAGAACAATGGAAAATCCCTTCCAAGAGTTCCTGCCACTTCTCTTTTGCCATACCTTGGGCAGCTGACTGATGATCTGCAGTGGAGTTGGCAGGAAATGGAGATAGGAGATTGTCCCTGCCCCAGGTATATTCTCTAAAAAAGTTTTGCTTCCTGCCAGGAGAGAGGGGCAGAGACAACCCATACAGGATCACATTCCTCCCCTACAGGAGAAGTACCTTTTACCTGCCAAAGGCCCCAAGAATTCACATTCTCACCATCTTTTGCTTGTTCCGCAGAAGAAAAAAGCCCATCTATTTTCTCTGCCTCGAAAGACAACATACGAGCCCCCAAATAGTCCACTACTGCTGACCCAACTCACAATGGCAACATTTAGCCTTTGCAAATGCATTTGAGGCTCATCCAAAATACTTGGGTATCAACTTGAACATCCATAGGATTCATCACCCCTCTCCTCAACTCATCTCTGTCATCAATGTACACATCTTGGGTCCTGGGGAGTAACTGGTGGCGAAACTGACAAAATTATAGACAATTCTATTTCAGAAAGGAAAATGAATGTGAAACATAACAAGTTCTACCAATCTACTTTGTACAGCAGCTACATTAATGGACTGGAGCCATTCATTTTCAAAATGCAGCTATGCATAAATAAGACAGTAAAGCAAGGTTCATGTACCAGGTTTGCACAAGTATTTCTTTGATTCTGCACAGTACCCTTAAAAACAAACAAACCCCCTACCTACTGTTTTAACTTCTCCTTCAATGTGATTGCTTAATTTGTGTCAAATAGGAAGACTTTTCACAAGAAACTCAGTTTTGGGTTTCATTTTAAAACTTATTCCTGGACACTCATTTTCATACAAGTTATTTTCTTCTGGTGTATCTGTATGCTGTATAATTCTATACTATGCACAAAACTACTAAAGGATACACAGCGTTTGGAAATTGTGCAGAACAAGAGGTCAGGAGCCCACCTATAAACATCAAGTGATTACAAGGATAGTCCTTCTAGAAAAATTTAGATGGCCAAAAGAGGAAAGTGTGGTATGTTCAAGTGTTGAGATACCAAAGACCGTGAGATACTGAGTGAAAAACCATTCTAATGTGAAAGTCTAGGCACATCACTTAACCTTTGGTATCTTCAGTTCAAATACATATAGATTTATGAAGCATACTAAGCCTGTCCTGGTGGATTGCATTTGGTTCTGCATACAATAAGCTAAACATGCAACACCTCTCACTAGTCCTTGGCAAGAGAACAGCTGCTATGAAGACAACCCAACATTCCTTTCCAACCAGAGTAAATAGCATTTAAAAAGTTTTTCCAAAAGTATGCAAAGCTGCAATATTCAGCACATTTTCAATCACTGCAGAGAAATCACTCATTTTGTCTGCCAAATTAAGACCACTACATGATATCAGACAATAGCAATATTTTAAAAGTACTCTGAGGTCGCTTAGTTGCACCACTTAAAATATCAAGCATCTTTCCAGCTATTAAACATTTCCTAGAATTCCAAGGGAAAAAAATCTTGACGTTCTTTCGTGTTTAGATTTGTAATATGCTGTACTATTTCAACGTGATGCACATGCTGCTCCGATACCAAGACCAGACACCTTTCCATTTTCAGGGATATTCAAGTAACCTTCCTCTTTGAGTTTCACCAGTCTGAAGTCTTCTCTGACTTTTTCCAGCAGATCTGGCTTGAAAATAACATCCAAAGCAGTCATTGCCAAAGCTTTCGCCGTTCGCAAGGCATAGAACTGAGCTTCTTCCGACCCTAGGAAGAATTAAATCCACAAATGAGAAAAGAAGGGATCAATAAAGAGGTGGTGGTAGGGGGCTGCATTGGGAGGGAGGGACTGGCAAAACCAATTCCCTCCTCATTCTGAACAGAAGCGCCTGCTGGATCAAAGAGAAACAACCCACCATTTTTGAAGTTAACTTAAGCTGGTCTGCTGCCTTCAGAAATGGCCACAGGAGCAGGTCTTACCAAGAGCTAGGCAGCACATTCAAGACTGAAGGGATTTACTGTATAGCTATACCATAACTGAAGGGATTTGTAAAGGCCATTTCCCCTTCCAAAACAATTCAATTTGAATTACCCTGGGAATAAAAAGATACTGTCTTCTCCTAAGTAGCTTTATGTTTTCTTTTCCTGCATTAAAATGCACATCTTTCAATTTCAGTGCATCTAGCATATATATGTGTTTCATAGAAGAAATTCAGGCTCATTGTAAGCCTGAAGTTATTGCTTCTTGTGAATAAATCAAAGTCCCAAATGTGGACATTTATAGAGTTTCTTCACTACCCTCTCATAATTTCTGCCACAAACATACTTCTCATAGTAGGAGTATCACTGGATCTTAAGATGCATATCTGCATGAGAGAGTTCAACAAGTTATCCACACCTGACCACCAGGAGGTTAAGTTAGCTTATTAAAAAACAACAACAACAAAAACCCTATAAAGATTGATTTAAGTCAGCAGCACATTGAGAGACCTGTGCTTGCTCTTGCTAGTGTTAGTCAGCTAGCAAGGCATCAAGATTTCCAGTTGCTTCAGCTGCAATAAAAAAAGCCAAGACTTTTGGAATAGTGTAGCACAGACTTCAAGAGAACAACCTCTGAAAATTTGACTGATTTCAACCACTGAAGTGCTGGCTAGTACAGTTTTATTTGTCATTGCAATTTTATCTTATTATTGTACAGTATATTATGTTATTATAACCCACTCAGGGACCATATGGTAAAGGACAACTTAGAATTTTTGCAAATAAACAAATAAATATTTATTACTGACTATTCCTAGGAACACAGTACACGGATGTCCAAGACCTAGTAAGAATAATCACAGAAACATAGGTAAGACACATTAATTCCAGTCCAGAACAATTTAATGTTCCATTCAGCTGCACTAAACATAGGCCAGCTGGGAAAAACCTTTAACTCAATGTAATTTCCATCTTAGTGTTCTTGTATATTTTGTGGTGGGGTGGGGGGCAGGAGGAATACATGTATATATACACACACACACACAAATAAAACTCACTAACCTGCAGCTGTTGTGTACTGCTCAGTATGGTTTAGTGCATCAGACCCAATATAAAAATAAGGATGAATCCCAGGAACCACAAAGGTAACATTCCCAAAATCAGTAGAACCTAGGAAAAGGGAGTTTTAAATGTATCAGATCAGGCTAACAAAAGGAATATATGCTGCTCAGCTATGCATGCTCTGCAGCAATATAATAATTCAGATCTCATACAAAGAAAGCAGCTTACAATTGGAACAGTGCAACTAGGCACATTTGTTCATTTTGCATTATTATACTGTTCCAAATGTCAGGATCACAAAGTTATTTATTTATTGACTGCAAAACTGTAGAATTGGACAAAGACAGTGATATGGAGGTAACCAACGGCACTGGAAACGAAGTGAAATGAAAAAAATCTGTGCAGGACACTCAGCTCCTGTCCCACGGCATAAGAAAGTATGACAGAGAAAAGAGCACATAACACAGACAAAGGTTGTGGGGGTTTTTTAGGTGTAAAATAAATATTTTGGGATTAGCAATGAAAGTTGATAAATGATAAGATGCAGAATCAGGCCAATTTCACAATTTTTCAAGTACATTAGGTAGCTCCCAAACATAAATGTTTCACTTTGCCAAGTTAAAATAAACAGAATGCAGAAATGATTTCAACACCAGAATGGAGGTTTTAGTTGAGAGAATTTAGTCTTCTTAAATAACAGTTCAACAATTCCTCACATAAATGGAAAAAGGCATCACTCTTAAAGGGGGGGAGAGACAGTTCTGGAGAAAAAGTGATATACATAAATAGCATGCACATAAACTGGGTTTTTCCTTTCTGCAGTATCAAGATCAAGCAGTCCTGAAATAATACCATAGATTCCGGTTTATAAGGCGACTTTTGAACCCTAGAAAATCTTCTCCAAAGTCGGGGGTCGCCTTATACGCCGGGTTTGGGCGGCGCGGAGCTGAGCCCGCCCCCTGTTGCTGCCCAACGTATTAGGAGACTGGGCTTATAAGAAAAATCCCCAAATTGCAGCTGCCAATTTGGGGGGTTGCCTAATACGCCCAGTCGCCTAATACGCCGGAATCTACGGTAGTTTAACTTAGAGACTACCAATCCTATCCCTTGCATGTTTATGGGCAGTAGGGTATCCACTGCCCTTTAATTCTACATCCTAAGTTGGTTTATGATGAAAAACAGATACCATGGAATGGCAAAACCACGGCAGCACTGTTTACTACCCATTTAACTCAACCTGTCCTTACTTCATGGATCAAGTTGAACAAAATGCTAAGAGTACTACAAGAAAATAAGTATATGGTAAAAAGGTAGACATTTTAAGCAGGTTCTTCTGAACATGTGCTGGTCACCATGCTTTAATGAAGATGAATTTAAGTGTGTGATTGAAGTTTCAGAACAGCCCCATTACATTTTCCCTTACCAAATTCAAATTCCCTTCAAATTTGTTTCTGCATTCACCTAGCGATACATGTTCTGATACTCTAAAATATAAAAACTGATCAGACTTCCTAATTGTTGGGAAGATTTATAAATGTATTTTCCAGTAAAACCAACCAACCAACCAGAAATGCATAGAAAAGGAATAAAAGCCAACCTGATAAATGTAAACACGTGGATGTTTTATTATTTATTACCTGACAGCCCAGTCAAGCTATCTTCTGGGATGAACTCCATGCCAAGTTTCTTCCCATTCTCAATGTAAGCTTTTTCCAGGCTCTTGTTAGGAAGTACATTGTAGTAATCATTTGCACCACCTTTTAATTCCATCTAGAGAAGAAAAATATTCATTTGCTTTGACACAAAAATACCAGATAAAGTCTAAACCAAAGGGCCTCCATCTCAATCCTATGTGTCTTACTCAGAAGTCAGTCCCACTGAACTCAAAGGTGCTTACTCTCAAAAATGCATAGGACTTAGTGTTAGGCTGAAATCTGAAACATACTTACCTGAGAACAAGCTGCAATTCAGTGTGGCTGACTTCAAAGTAAACATGCAAAGGATTACACTTTTAGGAACTAATTAGCTTTCTTCGGCATTTCACATCCTATTTATACGAAGCATGAATGTGGCATTATCTCCTAGAACAAGCAAGCAATTTTCTGCTTCCTGCCCTTAGACAACTGCAAGCTTCTTGCAAAACAGGATAAATTAGAAATGTGGAATGTCAGCTCCAAAGATGCCAAATGGAAAAAAACACAGAGCCAAGATTGTGTAAATTCTTGGAAGGGAGTTCCAACTGAATATGGAAGTGAGCTCCAGTTGGAAATTACTTTGAAGTAGAACCTTTAGAAGCAGGGTTAATCCCCTCTGGCTCCTCACTACTTTTATGATTTAAAGAAAATACCAAAGAAGGAAAAGTACTTAGAAACTGTTCAGTGAGAAAGGAAGCTTTTTTAAAAAAAAGAAAAAGAAAAGAAAAACAGCCCAATGCTGAGTCCTTGTGTATTTAAAAGCATGTGAAAGGTCGCTCTTACTTGGGTATGTTTGCACTTTTGAGAACCAAGACTTGACAAAGTTGAGTCCAAAATATCAGCTATGCTGAGATGTTAGTTCAACAGGATCAGGGTTTTAGTTCAGAGATGGATAAACCTTTTCAGCCTGAGGGTTGAAGCCAATCCTCTGAGGGCCACATGCCAGTTGTGGCCATGGCCAAGCACACCCTGCTCTCACCACACACAGACCACCACTTACATACACACACATACATATTCACCACACACAGACCACCACTTACATACACACACATTCCTTCCCATTGCAGCACTGAGCTGAAACTTTTTCTCCAAGCACTGTAATGAAAGACAGAGGTGACCAGACCATTTCAAACATCTTGACAGGCCTAATCACCCCAATCTAGCCTGCTTGGAGCCACAACTATAGGGGGAAACTGTCAGAGGGTAGGCTGACATGTAGATGTTATGCTTCTTTCAACTAAAATCACTCAACAGGTCCTGGGTTGTTTGGCCAAGAAGTCATCCAGAGAGTGGCTGAGGCAACAGTCAGGTGAGGAACAAATAATAATATTATCATTATTAGTCAGCTCACATTGTCACTTAAAAGCAAAATAAATCTTTATGAACCTTACTTCACACCCTGTGGCCAGGGCTGCAGATTTAAAGCAGTTCTCTGCTTTTTCTGTCAGGATGGAGAGTTCTTTTAACGAAGGAGCACGCAAGTAAAATTCTAATTCAGCATAAGAAGGGATGATATTAGGTTTCACACCTCCATTCTTTATTATACCTAAAAGAAGGAAGAACTGTGTTACTGAAATCAGAACTTTGAATAGGAGTTTTCTGAGGCTTCTGGCTAAAACAGGAAAGCCACACTAGTTTCTGCACCTGAGCCAACTCTCCAGCAGATGTGGGAACAAAAACAGATTTCCTTGCTTTCTTTAAGGAAAAAGAAAAACTTGTGTCTTGAAATTTTGATTTCAATAAAAACCCCACAAAGATTTGCATTCACGTTCTTCTCAGTTATTCATCTGTTGTCTTTCAGGATGAAATAAAACTAGATGGCATTGGAACAAGGGGGATTAAGGGAGCAGTAACACAGAGGCTGAATATATTTACTAGACCAGAAGTCAAGGCGTAAAAACATCCCTTTCATATTCTAACCTCTGGGGAAAAGACTAAAGTATAAATTAAAGCTGAACAATTTAACATGTTTTTGTGGCATAATTCAACTTTGCTTAACCAACTTAGGCATCAGTTTTGAACAATACACCTCCTAACATCTTTTTTCTGCCTTTTTTCTTCCACATAGTGCATGGTGGAAGAATACTAAAGTAGCGGGTTATTCAACACCAGCTGCCCATGAGCTGACCAAGAGAAAGGGATAAGAAATGAAAATATTTCAAACTCTTAAACAGTATCCATTTTAAGGAGCTTTTTTTGTGCAAGCATTTGAAATAGGTAAGGGGCACAAAATTCCAGAACACCATATTTTCCACCCTGGATAATATAAACAGTGTCACCCTTTGTCTGCCCATATATACACTTTCCTTCTTCAAATTTTGTTATGAAGACTAGAGCGCTATCAAGGTGCAGCGTCATCAAATGTTAGAAACAGGTTTTAGATCAGAGAAGAGAAGGTTCTGTATCAAAAGCAAGTGTGTTGTTTGTTTGTTTGCTTTCCTGTTGGCCCAGATCTAACACACAATAGGCAATAGCTGACATTCATCATACTCAATAGACCCATTGAAATCTATTGATTTCAATCAGTCTACTCAAAGTATGATAATTATCACTCAACAGCTCAAGTAAAGTTCCAGTTGAAACCACTTTGAATAAAGTAACTCTTAATCTGTTATATATGCACATATGAAATTTTGGCCAGGCAAATGAATCTACTGTCAATTGGGAACTTCAAACAAGAATAAAGGGGTATGATACATTTCCATCTTAAAAGTCTTGCATGAATAGAATCTTGTTTGACTGAGTTCTGAATGACTCCAGCAAGAAGAGGCTCTTTGTTTTAAGATAGTTTGAATTGCTACAATATTGTTATAACTCAGTGGTGCCCAGACATAATGCGCTTGCAATCTATGGCAATTTTTAGGCAGTAAGTTGTTTTTAGGTTTCTTCAATATACCTGGAATAGTTGCTTACCTGAATAGTTCTTTAGTTGTCTTGAGCTATTCAAATCACTTGCCAGAATCCATCTGCTACACTACAGTAACTGAACATTGGCAGCAAATCTGAAAGCTGCATCTAATATTTATAAACCATCTAAATTTTATTAGGCCATGTACATAAAACTGGCAAGCTTCCCTGCTCCAAGAATCACTTTTACATTATGCAACAGTTGTATGAAACAAATCAAAGTGAGTGTACAGGAATAGAAAGGTTTAACTTTAAGCAAAAACTGGCTGGCTCACAGGTGAGAGGCAATACTCAAGAGAACTCCCGAGAATGCCATCCATGTGTAGCAAAACTAGTTGTTGTCTTTGCTTCCACTAAGATTCAACAAAGTTCCTATAAGCACAGGTTATCCCAAAATGTATTATTCTAAAGAGCAAGCCCATGCTTGCCCCATGCTGTGGCATCAATATGCACACTTTGACTAAGCTTCAATACGTAGAAGGAAGACTTTTGAGATGCTATCTCTATATATGGTTGGTAAACAAGCTATAGAAAAACCAAGTGGTACACTGCTGGTATAATCCCATTCTCATGTGTTTCTGCACAAACTAGCTGGGAAGATGTAGACAGGGCAGTGCACAGTGTTTTTATGATACTGGTTGTATAATCCAATTTGGCCTCAATAAGGCACCAATGCTCACAAGAGCAAGAAGGCCCATCATACAAAAATGTGTAAGATTTAAACCATGCACATGCTAAGAGTATTTTAATGGAAAATTATCACTTGAAAAGCAGCAAATCACTTGCAGTGCTGCCTGGGCCACAAATGCTTTAAATAATTTAATGGTTTTGTGCAAAGAAAACTAATTACTATTAGCTTTCATGACCACATAAAAAAATAAATGTTGACCAGCAAGGTAACCTTGCCTATGGGGGGAAAAAGTTAAAAAGCAGTAGAGCTACTCCAACCAGTTTAACCAGCAACTACGTGCTATGAAGGGAACATCACAAAAAACAAAAACAAATCGGGAATGCAAGAAGACATACCATTCCTTTCTTATCATCACTAAGAGATGCACTTTGCCTCGCTCTTTTCAATTTGTATTCTTATTTGATAGCTCTAGTACAGATAAACATGAACAAGGGCAGAAATTTGATGGGAGCAAACAAAGACGAGAAAAAGTAACAAGTCAGAAAGACCATGTTACTTTAAATTGAAAGTATTATGGATGACAAGTTGCTCAAAACCTTTTACATTTTAGTTTATATGGGGTGAGGGGGAATCTTCCACTGAGAATATTTTTTTATGCAGTATTCAGAAGTACTACAACAGTGACCCATAATTCTATCTGGAAGGTATTAACGCCATTGCTTTGGAAATCAAACAGCAACATAAATCATATGGGTGCTTCTGGATGAGAGCTAATCCAATAGGGTGGAGAGGTATCCAATGGGGAACTCTTGAAAGAAGCTGATCAAAGCTGATTGTTGGGGCTATGCTTTGAAGGCCTGATAATCAGCTGACAGTCAGGGTTTCAAAGTGTCAGCCCAACACACATCAGCAGTGCCTCCAATCTCCTCTGTGGCCCAGGTGCAACTTTACCTGCCTCACACCTGACCTCATGAGTAGGACCAGAGGTGTAGGATAGGTAGCTGTGGATTGGTCAAAACTGCCTGATGGGCCTATTGGGCTTTTGGAACAATAGTTACTTTACCATGCAGATGGAAACCAAACCTTTTCACTATTACCTAACTTCAGTCAAGTTAATGAATTGCAAGTGTTTATGGCTAATTTGATCCCTTTGGTTAGCTGTCTAGTTTAGTTGCCACATATCTTTAAACGACGTTGTATAAACTAGAAATCCTTCTACAGTTAGACCCATATTATTATGGTCAGGTATAGACAAACAGTAGTCTACATGCTAAAACTCAAGTGTGGACCATAGCACTTTAGCCTTGCAGCTTACAAAACTGCCTCGTCCTCACAATAATCCCTATATATAGTTAACTAGCACTTAATAGAAAAGCTAAACTAGAACGCTATTTGAGCATTCAATTATATAACCATCACCTCTTCCAGGACTCCACTAATAAATGTATCAGTTGCATGAACTGCAGAGCTTGTGTTACAGACACTTATGAGTATGTAACTCGTATGCTTTACACATCTGGATGACACAAGCCTAGCACAGCATGCGTTCTAACCTCTGACTAAGGGTGAGGGGCAGATCCTATAAGCATCCCCAAAGCATAAAAAAGATGGAAGGAAATAGAGAGCTGCACCAACTGCCAGGGTATGATAACCCATAATATTGTGGGTGTGAAGACTCGCTGTTACAATACACATTATTGCAGGTGTCTGCCATCATAATACTCAACCTTAACACCAATCACCATCTGATGAACGTTCATTAACCTTGGCTAATACATGGAGCCTGACTGCTCTCACCACCCCTGGTATGAGCAGATAAAATCAGCTTAGAACAACATCCAAACTTGGGTTCATGGTTTGTTCTCCCTAACAAGCGAGAATTTGCCAACAACAAACTAAGTAAACATAGCTTGTTAGGGTGAAACAAATCACAATCCAAACTTCAGACATCTTGCTATATGGGTTCAATTACCTATGGGCTGCATACACTAGCATGCAGCTCACACAATATGGTTTCTTAAGCAAACAACCCTGACATATTGTTTTGGGAAAACATGACCAAAGTCTATTAAGTGAACATATCCATACCCAAGTTGTATAGCTCTTAAAGAACTTTCAACTTTACCAACAGATTGAACATTTATCAGAAAACTTAAGCACATGAACAGCCATTTTCATTTTAATGTTAACATGCCAGATACATTATAAAACAGTGCCTGAAGTATTACTTGCTGGACATAAGATTTAATGAACATCTCACCATGAACTCTCCATGTTGGTTTCATTTGCTGCCTTAAAACTGACAGATTGTTGTATGCAAGAACAGCAGCATCTAATGCATTTACTCCTTCCCAAGGGTAAGCAGCAGCATGAGAAGCTTTTCCATAGTATTTCACAGTCACACTAGGAAATAAAAGCCATCACTGGTTTTTAAACACTTTTTGAAAGGAAAAATATCCCTTTGGATTCATTCAACGAACTTAAGTTCTAATGAGATAAAGGTCTATGCTATAATATAGGGGTTTTTTTTTTTTTTAACCTCAATCCTCAATTTTTTTTTAACCTCAATCCTCTATAAAGATAATTGCTGGAAAAACAGACCAACATGTTTTGAGAGTAGGAGGTATTCAATACAGAGCTTTGATACTCAAAGCTGATCTTTGTCATCACAAAACCAAGTCTGACATTTATATGGACCACTTGTACTGAAATAGGTACATACAAGACAAGAACTAATTTCTGTGGAAATAAAGAATATTAGTATATTAGACAGAAATAAATTGTGTCTGGTAGAGAAATATCTTAACAAATCAACTAAGAAAACAGACATTTTCAAAAGGCGTGAAGCAAATAACAAACTACAATCAACTGGTGTGAGATTTCCTGACAACTCAGTTCACCACCTCCCCTCAATCTGAATTTTGAAAAGCAATGTTAAAAAATTAGCATGAAAAAATTAGAGTTCAAGGAACTAGCACCGTTATAACTTTGGCCTATAAAACCTGCTGGGATCAAAAGATTAGTAAGTATCCTCTTGTATTTATTTATTTATGTATGTATTTACCACATTTATATCCCACCTGTCCTCCAATGAGCTCAAAGGGATGTAGGTGTTTCTCTCTCCAGATGACCCTCACAACAACCCTGAGTGATAGGTTATGCTGAGTTGGTGAGCTTCACAGTCAAGTGAAGATTTGGCACACTAACCACAATACCACACTGGTTATCTATCCTATTCTGGCATATATCATATTCTTCCTAAGATCTTAAGAGATCTATAAAGATATGAAACCAGCTGCAACAAATTGCAACTACTCAAGAGTCTAAATATGTACATCTGATGACTTTATTCTGACCTTGGGAAACTTGAGTTACACTTAGGTAAGATGACTACCTGAGGCTTAGTAATAAAAATCATTAATTAGAAACAGGTATTAAGCACACTATGAACTGTGAGCAAACAATCCCAAACGTCCCGCATTACACGGGACCCTTGCATAGGCTTTTGCTTACATGGCTTCATTTTCAAAGCGTGATTTATCATCTAGGGTGTGTGAGTTATTCTGTTGCAAACCTATTCTTCTTTGGCTGCAGCCAAGTTTGGAGACTGTGCAGACTTTGTTCAAAAATACAGTGATACGTGTTTAATAAAACTTGACAGAAATTATAACGAAAAGGTTAGGACAAACACAAAAGCCAAAGGTAAAGACAGCAGTTTGCAATGTCCTGTGTGAAGACAAACTGACACATTTCCCAACCAAAAACTACGAAGAATTCAGCAAACATTTTTCCAGAGTGCAGAATATTTGTTACTGAGCTTTCCCTAGAATCAAGTGTTATAAAAACATTGTTAAATAAATAAATAAATGTGGATATGCTGTGTATCAGCACTATCCACTTCCAACATGACCCAAACATAACCCCAGCAATGCATGCTAGGTGCAACCTATAAAGCTATATCCGAAGACAGCCCAGCCTTTTAGGGTCATGCCAAGCTATGGAGTTCAGTAGCATAAGTTATATAAAGTAGGATAGAGAAGCAGCATAAATGCTATAAATAAGAGAAACAAGAGAATCATACTTCTGTCCCAACTGAATCATAGGGAATACTGTTGTTAAGCTCAGAATGCCAGTGCTCTTCCATCCTTATGCATATATAGTTAAAAGGTCTATACTATCAGTCTACTGAGAGCAGCTGGAAATGTTGATTCAACATTGCTGTTGAACATAGAAATGCTAATCATGAAATCCTACAGCTCCTCTCACTGAGGTATGACGTATTGGCAAAAACTGGTAGCAGAGTTTGCTTGTTTTCCTCTTCCCTCCCTATGCCTCCTCTTTTCCCTTCTGTGCTGTGAGTGATATCCAACTAAGCCATAATTAGACCAGACCCATTAAAACGGGCTAAAATCCATTGCTGTCAGTGGGTCTACAGCATATTATGACTATCACTGAATATCACTGTCTTTCAGACTGCATGCCTGTGAGCAGGTCATCTTGCTACTGATCTTATGTCATCTGCTCTGGAAGCCTTTTCAACAGAAAACTGGGTAAAAATACTTAAGGTGGCCTGGCTCAAGAACTAGGATAGAATCCATCATTTATTTGTCAAAGGCCTTTCTCTGTGCATCCTGAAGTTAGGTGAGTGACTAGTGGGCGAAGTGCCTTTTCAGTGTTGGAACTCTCCTCTAAGGTATGTTCAACTGTTCCTTCATCATTACAATTTAGGCAAATCTGTTCTGTTTGCTTGGAATGCTAATGGCATTTGGTGGCCTGTTATGATACACACCACCCTTTTAATTGGATCACTGCTTTAAGTGTTATTTTCTGACTCAATTTTATTTGCTGCTACGTTTTAAAAATTGTGTTAGCCACTTTGAGATGGATGCGAAAGGTGGGGTATAAATTCCTAAAGTGAGTAGCATTCAAAAACTTGCTCTGTACAGTTCTCTCTTGTAAATCTCAAATGAGCTCTGAAATTCTAAGAAAGAATTCAGTACTGTACTGTAAGTTCAATACTGCCCCATGTACCAAAAATATTACTACAATGGCAATTTTGAGAAGTAAATGCGTAGAACTTTCCTACTAGTTGTTTTGGTATGTGGAGGGATATGGAAGCTAAGAATACAAAAAGCATCTGAAAGTACACATTTTCAAACAGAGCTCTGTTTTCAGTTAGTTTTCATATACTGATGTCCACCACCTCCCTTCCCGCTAATCCTGCTATTACTGTGCAGGAGTAGAGGATCAAGCATCAGGTGTACTGCATCCAGGGAGGGGGGAAAAGATTATGTTCTGCAAATGGAGACAATTCAAAGGGCTGTGTTTTTACTTGATGAATCACCTGCAGAAGAAGACGTGAAAACATTAGAATTAGCACTGATCTAAAGTAATCTGTTACATGAGACCACGATTAATTATAAAGTTCATAGCTTCTGGCATTAGATTTTGTGCCCATTCTGTTCAGTATGAAGAACAAAGGAAGATTAAGTCAAGACAAAACTGAAGAAACTGTACTAAATTTCTATGAAGGGATAACATCCCTACCACACATATTGGGGGTCGAGGGGGGAAGAAATCTCATCTTAGTCTCTATAACGATGTTGTGTGGTTTTCAAAAAAAGTGAGGAAGTGTTCTTCTACCTCTAGTCACAAGAAATCATCTGTGCTGGTCAGCTCGCTTCAAAAATGGAAAGCCATCTCTAAGAATGATGAGGAAAGGCACTTGAAGCTTGTAATATTTACTACTGAACCAATGAGAGCTAGGTGGTGAAATGAAGCCACACCTTTTATTTATTTAAAGCATTTTTATCCTGCTCTTCAGTCACAAAAGGTGCCCTGAGTGGCTTAAGATGAGCCTTTCTATAATAAAAAAACAACACCAATTTGGGGTGAAACGACTTTTGCAAAGGAATTTTTTTTTTACAAATATAACTTGTTTGTCATTGCAATATCTGCAACACACCACTGCTTTCCTGATACGGAAGGCTACTGAGATGTCAACATAGCCATCATATACCCTGGGTGTGAACTTCACTATGGCAGAAAGGCAGTCAAAAAACAGAATACCAAGAGGAATGGGGCACTCTGCATTTCTGGGTTGGTGTGTTAACTGCCAGAAACTTTTAAGAAAAGTACAATGTACAGTAACACCTCTGGTTACAAACCATCCTCCTTGCGAACGCTTCGGGTTACAAGCTCTGCTATCTTGGAAGTAGGTGCTCCTGGTTGCAAACTTTGCCCCAGGATGTGAGCAGAAATCGCGCTCCAGAGGCCCCATTAGTGAAAGCGCACCTCAGGTTAAGGACGGTTTCAAGTTGAGAGCGGACCTCCGGAAAGAATTAAGTTCATAACCAGAGGTACCACTGTATTCAAATCTATATACAATCTAAATTGTATACAGCCGAACATCAGTTCTACTTGTTCTTAATATGCCTATATGTGGTCATCTTTGCAGAAATGTGAAAGGAAATATAAAAGTTTTTAACACTCAACTGTACAGCTTTGTACAGCTGTACAAGACATTTAGGTCTACATTGCAGGCAAACACCAGATCTAATTTCTGGAGATGTTCTGTAATGAGATCAGCTGAAACAAACTCCTTTAACAATCACATGAAGCAAGACTGTATAACCAGAATTGCTTCCAACTAAACAGAATGACTTCAAAAACACCCAGCACCCTCTCTAGTCCGAATAATGGTTCCGTCCAAATATATTAATAAATGTGTATAAACAATAAAACAAATTGTGGGTGGAAGGGTGTTTGTTAAACTGCAGCATCTCCTATTCCAATAAAGTTGGCAGTTTCATGAACGCTATCACACATCAGGAAATGAAATTTATACCTTGAACTAAATTAAAAAATCATTGTTAGGGTTACCTAGCTACTGGTCCAACTGATTTAAAAACAAAACAAAACAGAAGCTCATTAGGCAACTTGAATAAGATGATGTTGAATAAAGAAGATATGTTTCAAATAAGTAAAAGTCCCTGAAAATGAAGCCCTGCTGTAATTCACTACAAAGTGACATACCGTATTTTTCGCACCATAGGACGCAGTTTTTCCGTCTTAAAAACTAAGGGGAAATGTGTGTGCGTCCTATGGAGCGAATGCAGGCTCCCTGGCTTCAGCGATAGCAAGGCAAAGCCTCCGAAGCCTGCGCTCCGGAGGCTTCCCGTTGCTTCCGCTGAAGCCAGGAGAGTCTGCTCTTTGAGGCTGGCGGGGGGAAAGCAGCGCTTCCCCCATCGCCAGCCCCAGAGGATGGGGGGCAGCAGGAAGGCGCGCGACGCCTTCCCGCTGCTCTCCAACCCTCCTGTGGGCTTTTGCGGGAGATGGGGGAATTCCCCCACCTCCCGCAAAAGCAGGCAAAAGCTGTGCGCTCTTTAAAGGGGCTGCACGGCTTTGCTGGCTTTTCTAGGAGGTGGGGGGATTCCCCCACCTCGCAGAAAAGCCTGCAAGAGCCTCGCAGCCTTTACAGAGCGCGCAGCTCTTGGGGGCTTTTCCCCAAGGAGGGAGAAGGGACTGACTGGCCGAGTCAGTCCCTTCTCCCTCCTGCGGGCTTTTGCGGGAGATGGGGGAATTCCCCCACCTCCCGCAAAAGCAGGCAAAAGCCGTGCGCTCTTTAAAGGGGCTGCACGGCTTTGCTGGCTTTTCTAGGAGGTGGGGGGATTCCCCCACCTCGCAGAAAAGCCTGCAAGAGCCTCGCAGCCTTTACAGAGCGCGCAGCTCTTGGGGGCTTTTCCCCAAGGAGGGAGAAGGGACTGACTGGCCGAGTCAGTCCCTTCTCCCTCCTGCGGGCTTTTGCGGGAGATGGGGGAATTCCCCCACCTCCCGCAAAAGCAGGCAAAAGCCATGCGCTCTTTAAAGGGGCTGCACGGCTTTGCTGGCTTCTCTAGGAGGTGGGGGGATTCCCCCACCTCGCAGAAAAGCCTGCAAGAGCCGCGCAGCCTTTACAGAGCGCGCAGCTCTTGGGGGCTTTTCCCCAAGGAGGGAGAAGGGACTGACTGGCCGATTCAGTCCCTTCTCCCTCCTGCGGACTTTTGCGGGAGATGGGGGAATTCCCCCACCTCCCGCAAAAGCAGGCAAAAGCTGTGCGCTCTTTAAAGGGGCTGCACGGCTTTGCTGGCTTTTCTAGGAGGTGGGGGGATTCCCCCACCTCGCAGAAAAGCCTGCAAGAGCCTCGCAGCCTTTACAGAGCGCGCAGCTCTTGGGGGCTTTTCCCCAAGGAGGGAGAAGGGACTGACTGGCCGAGTCAGTCCCTTCTCCCTCCTGCGGGCTTTTGCGGGAGATGGGGGAATTCCCCCACCTCCCGCAAAAGCAGGCAAAAGCCATGCGCTCTTTAAAGGGGCTGCACGGCTTTGCTGGCTTCTCTAGGAGGTGGGGGGATTCCCCCACCTCGCAGAAAAGCCTGCAAGAGCCGCGCAGCCTTTACAGAGCGCGCAGCTCTTGGGGGCTTTTCCCCAAGGAGGGAGAAGGGACTGACTGGCCGAGTCAGTCCCTTCTCCCTCCTGCGGACTTTTGCGGGAGATGGGGGAATTCCCCCACCTCCCGCAAAAGCAGGCAAAAGCTGTGCGCTCTTTAAAGGGGCTGCACGGCTTTGCTGGCTTTTCTAGGAGGTGGGGGGATTCCCCCACCTCGCAGAAAAGCCTGCAAGAGCCTCGCAGCCTTTACAGAGCGCGCAGCTCTTGGGGGCTTTTCCCCAAGGAGGGAGAAGGGACTGACTGGCTGAGTCAGTCCCTTCTCCCTCCTGCGGGCTTTTGCGGGAGATGGGGGAATTCCCCCACCTCCCGCAAAAGCAGGCAAAAGCTGTGCGCTCTTTAAAGGGGCTGCACGGCTTTGCTGGCTTCTCTACCCCCCACCTCGCAGAAAAGCCTGCAAGAGCCGCGCAGCCTTTACAGAGCGCGCAGCTCTTGGGGGCTTTTCCCCAAGGAGGGAGAAGGGACTGACTGGCCGAGTCAGTCCCTTCTCCCTCCTGCGGACTTTTGCGGGAGATGGGGGAATTCCGCCACCTCCCGCAAAAGCAGGGAGAAGGTCTTGGAGTAGCGCACAGGCTGCGTGCAGCCTGTCCACTGCTCCCAGAGCTGGGGGGGGGGGGAATCATATTTTTTCCTTGATTTCCCCCCCTGAAAACTAGGTGCGTCCTATGGTCCGGTGCGTCCAATCGTGCGAAAAATACGGTAATTTTGCAGGCAGTACTTTACTCAGAATGTGCATATAATTGTAAATATACAGAATAAGGTCAATAACTGAAGATCTTAGGACCAAATCTAGGAGGCTCTATCTGCCCACTCCTCCCAACAACCAGGGGAGTAAAAAACATGTAGAGAGTAGCAGTTCTGGAACTAAAACTTGCTGGCAGATCACTGGGTAGGAAATAGCTTAAGGAGGATGGGAAGTAACTCAGTGGCACAGCATCTGCTTTGCATTCAGGAAGTTGCAGGTTCAATCCCCTGCATCTTCAGGTAGTGCAAGACGAGCTAGCTAGACCAATGGACCTGTGTTCTGTGCATGGACTCCATCACCCATACCGAAGGACTGGTTACTGGGAGCAGGTTGGCTTTGGAGGTCCTCATATCTTCCTCACGCATCACCCCAACTTTCCCCAGTGAACAGCTAAGAGGGAAAGTGCGTAGGAGAATTGTGGGTGAGCTTTTTCTGGACAGCATAGTGAGAAAGAACGGGATCCTTGGCACAAGAGGCCTTGGCAGCTGTTTCATAATGCCACCCAGCCTTCCTTTCTTTCTTACTGAGGCCCTTTAGGATAATGAATTAACGGTTATGGTATAAAAACTCAAACCTCACGTAATACAAGTTAATTGAAGTAGAAACTTGTTTCGCTTGGCAGCACCACACAAGCACCACGTGCTCATTAGCGGTTTATTAGAAACAGCAGCAGAATGTTACATAAATTGTTCCAAGTGCCCTTTGGAAAGCCAAACGAGTAACTCAAAAGTGGATCAAAAGTGAAAGGCTTGTTACAATGGCCAAGTAAACAATGCCTCCCATTCCAGTTTACTCACTCATGTTCTGCTACGTCGGGCAAATACGCTGCATCTTCTTGGGACGGATGGGCCATGAAAACAACGTCCAGACCATCGAAAGCTCCGGCTTTGATCAAGTCAATTTTGCCTCCTCCATCTTCTTCAGCAGGGGTGCCCAACACGGTGACCTGAAAGCAAAGGTGACATGTGGGTCAGGAAGTACAGCAAAAACCAAAGCATCCTGGGATGCGGGATGCGGCACTCTCTTTACGGGAGGGTCTTTCTTTCTTTACCCTTAAGTTTACAAGTTGCATATACACCTCCAGAGATCTTTCTAGGACACTTTGCGAAAACAAGACGCAAAGAAGGGGCATGGTGAGAACTACAGCAGCGTCCCAGCGAGCCCACCCCCCAAAAAAGGAAAGAAAAAGAGGGGGCTCGGAAAGGTTGTGGGCTGAAGGCAGGATATGCGGGGCGCAGCTTCTCTCCCTCTCCCACCCACCCTGCACCTTGACGGCGGGGACGTGGCGGGACAGTCCGTCGGCGGCTCCGCTCGGGCGGAGGCTCTCCAGGGCGCCCTTCAGGCCCAGCGCGGCGGCGGCGCCCACTTCGGCGATGAGGTTGTGGCCGCAGGCGTGGCCGATGCCCGGCAGGGCGTCGTACTCGCACAAGAAGCCCAGCCGGAGGGGCGCCTTCTGCCCGTCCTCGACGGCGGCGGCGGCAGGAGCAGCCCCCGCGGCGTCTCCCTCGCCGCCCCACTGCCAGTCCGCCCGCAAGGCCGTCTCCAGCTTGTAGCTGCGCTGCACCAGCCAAGCGCCGGCCGGCGAGGACCCCGGGGCCAGGCCGGCGAAGAAGCGGGCGAGGGCGTCGTGAGCCTGGCGCTCCTCGTAAGCCAGCTCCGGCCGGCTCCAGATCTCGCGGCTCAGCTCGGCCAGCCGCTCCGACGACGCCTCGATGCACTCGGCCGCCCGGCGCTTCAGCTCCTCCAGGCGCGCCGCCAAAGCGGGCGCCTCGGACGCCTCGTTCGGCCTCATCGGAAAGGAGCTCGTTGTAAGGGAGAATAAACGGGAACAACAAGGGCGCGCTGCAGCGTCAGGAAAAGAGCCACCGCCAGCTTCGCAACCACGACAGCCACCGGCAAATGTCTGAAACCCGCGCCGCCCGAGGGGCTTATATAGCCTCGGTTAGCAGCCCAGGCCGGGACTTTCTTCCGCAGAGCTTGCTGGGAAAAGTAGTCGCTTTTCTTTAACACTCCGCGAATACAGTAGTTCTAAAAGGAAAAACAGCTCCTGCCTCCGGCGCCGCGTGCTGCTTAAGCTACCGAAGTGTTGTTGCTCAGGTGTATATATAGGGTTTAACCTGAGCCGAGGATCAACACCGAAACCTAATCCTACCTCTTTTCCTAGAAGTAACTCGATACAGGGCATTGTTCAACCACCAGGGACAGAGGTTAAAAAAAGGTTATTTCTGGACTAGGCTATTGGGTCAATATTATGTTTACTGTTGTGTAACCCGAATGAAGATAGGTAAGAGACAGATAGAGTGGTTTGTGAAAATTTATGTATATCTGTGTTTATATGCAATTTTCACATCTCTCTATTCAGGTACCACAACATTAAACATAACACAAACACATAAAAGAATCAACATTGAAAGATACCAGTGAGAATCTGTATTGTTTCAGGACTTTGAAGAAACGCTGGCAAGTGTACACTTAAGTCTGATCAGGTTTGTCTTCCAGGAGTCAAGTGTATTTTTATCAAGAGTATTGCATCAAATAAACATCTGTATGTTTATGCTGGTGGGTGTATGAAGCTCTGCAACTTTCCATTGGTCTACCAGAACCACCATCTGTTGGGGTCATAAGAGCCGGGAGATCAAGTTTAATGCAGCCCTCACAAGTCTCATTAAGTATTTAGCTGTGCATGGCTTAATCTGTTCATAGCAAAAAGCTTTTGGTGTGTGTCTGTTTAAAATAGAAGTGCCTGCTTCTGTCCCCAAGGATGTCTTGAGCCTGCTGAAGTCAAACGAAGAGTGGCTGAAATACAATTGATTGCTGATTGAAACCAAACAGTAGCAGTTTAGATCACATGTAAATACCCGTAAGAGTTTTATACCAAGGATTTGACTGATTGTGTCAAATTAATATTCATATCCCCCTCACCTCCCAGTTCTTCCTAGCCTACCTTTTGTCACATGTTCCCTTGTTGAGACCACCACCCTATTCATCCTATTGTCTTTACAGTCTGTATGAGCTGTGGTCCCCTAGTTTCTCACTGTTCCCAGAACTTCCTGCCTACTTAACCTCACAAGTTTTGACAGTTTATGAACATTCCCTATCATCAGAGAAGTTTGGTTATTAGCCAGCTACAGAAGCTATCCCAGACCAAACGTCAGCCACTGTTATCCCAGAAGTGTCATTTATCTTCCCGCCCCCCCCCAGCATGTTTTGCATCTAATTTGAAAGACTATTAACATACTGGCACATTCATGCAGAAGTTGAATTTCCAGAAGGGTGTTGATGGGTTGCAGAATTCAGGTTTTTAAGGCCTAAAATAGATAGATAAATTTATTGTCATTGTCCGTATATACACAGTATACACAACAACGAAAATCAAACACCCACCCAAAGACCGGGTTCACATACACATTTGCATGTATCTCCAACACTCTCCTCCTATTCAGACATAATCTATAAAAACATAACATAATCCAGAATATAACATAACCTATTAAAGGCATAACATAACCTAAAACCTATCTCATTCCTTCCTACTCCCTGCTTGCTATTTCTTGCAACTGGCCCTGAGATCATTATTTAGTGCAATCAGAGCTCTTGGATAGAAACTATTCAGAAGGCGTGTGGTTCGTGTTTTCATTGTCCTATATCTTCTGCCCGAAGGCAATAGTTCAAAGAAGTTGTGAGCAGGGTGGGTGGGATCTCTCAGGATATTGTGTGACTTCTTCAAAGTGCGAGACGTGAAGATCTCATCCAGGGTTGGTAGTTGGAGCCCAATAACGTTCTGGGCAATTTTAATTATTCTCTGTAAAGCTTTTTTATCCGTTTCAGAGCTGCTCCCATACCACGATAATATACTATAGGTTAAGACACTCTCGATGGTACTGTGATAATAGGACAGAAGTAGGTGCTGAGATAGATTCAGTCCCCTGAGCATTCTCAGGAAATACAACCTCCCCTTGCACCTTCCTCACAACCATATTAATATTTGCAGTCCATGAGAGGTCCTCAGAGATATAAATGCCCAGGTATTTAAAACTACCAACCCTCTCCACCTCCTCGCCATTTATATGCAATGGTAAAAATACACTTTTCTTTCTCCTAAAGTCAATTATGAGTTCTTTGGTTTTTTTGGTGTTAAGCATAAGATTGTTTTCTTTACACCATTGAATTAACCCCTGTACTTCTTTCCTATAAGCAGTCTCATCGTTCTCACTAATGAGCCCCACCACTGTTGTATCATCCGCAAATTTGATGATTGTGTTGGACTTATACAGTGGGGTGCAATCAAATGTGTACAGGGAACAGAGAAAGGGACTTAGCACACATCCCTGAGGGGCTCCTGTGCTTAATACTAGAGTAGAAGAATAGTAAGGTCCCATTCTCACTGTCTGCGGCCTATCAGTCAGGAAATTCCTTACCCACAGACAGATCTTCTGATGTATACCCAAATTGGTAATTTTAAGAAATAACCTGTCTGGCAGAATTGTATTGAAGGCAGAACTGTAGTCCACAAACAACAGCCTTGCGTAGGTTCCCTGTCGTTCTAGATGACTCAGTACAGTATGGACAGCGATGGAAATAGCATCATCAGTAGATCTGTTTCTTCTGTATGCAAACTGGAACGGGTCTAGAGTGGATGGAAGACCAGCCTTAATATGATCTAGCACCAATCTCTCAAAACATTTCATAACGACAGATGTTAGGGCTATTGGTCTATAATCATTGAGAGATACCACCACTGACTGCTTGGGGACTGGCACTATAATCGATGACTTCAGGCTCCAGAGCCTCTGCAATGTTAGAAAGACAGTGGCAGCCAGAGGGGACATCGGTCCTCTGCCAGCACAGACCTACTTGGACATCAGAACAGATATACCTTCAATATAAAAAGAGATAGGGCAAGCAAGCAAAGGGGACAATGGCTGAGGAAGTATCGCTGGGGCAGCGGGAGCAGAGTGTAGGATGTTTTGACATGGCAACAAATATTTTTTAACTGCTAATGTTGTATCATATTTATAAATATCTTATTTAGCAGAGCTCTTCTGGTAGTAAATCACCTGCTAAGTCTAAACTGTTTCCACCTGGAATCAGTCAAGTTCTTACAGGCTTAATATATATTGCCATTCATCATTCAAACAAATGAAATCAATCCTTTCTAAATCCCCATTCTAGCAGGATACTTCTTTATTGCTCAGTTTATTGCAGCATGTGTTTATGACAGTGAATTTTAATGGGCTGATTGACTCACTTTAAGAAATATATATTTGCTAAAATGCGCCTATCCTGGCAATAATGGTAAGTAATAATTCTAAACATGCTTGGATTGCAGGTGTACATGAAGTTCAGCTTTCTTTTGGCTTAAATACCAATAATATAAAACATCCTCCAAACCACAAATTAATATATATTCAGGCTCTAATTGACATCACAGACTATAAACAAGAGATTATGGTAAGATACATTTAGTATCTCAGCAGTTTCCTGCTGTATCTTCTGATAGCTGGCTTACTATTTTTAACAACTGCAGCACGTGTATCACATTATTTAATAAGAGAGAGTGCTGGAATATTTATTCTGTTTGAAATGTTGATACATTTAAGTGCATTAGAGAAATAATTATAATGGGTCTCAAATCCAAGTAAACATAATAAAAACTGAGCTGTTTGCTTCAGAGGTTGAACAGTGACTATACATTAATCAAAATTTATGGTATAAAAGCTGTATGAAAAGGAGAGAAAGGATTAAGTTAAGCACTGCATTGTTTACCCTGAATTTTGTGCACTAACAGCTGAATAACCTGCCTAGTTAGGATTAATGGAAAGATGAAAAGAACAGCAGAATACAGGGATGCATGCAAGTTTCAGCAACGATTAAAAAAATTATATATATATTTAATTAAGGCGGAGCCAAAACATATAAAATAATTTAAAAGAAAACAAACATTTAGCATACCTAAATTGCATCTATTTATTATTAAAATTATACCCCTCCTTTCATCCAAGGAGCTCAACATGGCATACACAGTTCTCCACCCTAACTCCATTTTACTTCACCACAACCCTATGTTGTTGTTTAGTCATGTCCAGCTCTTCGTGACCCCATGGACCAGAGCACACCAGGCACTCCTGTCTGCCACTCCTTTCCTTATTGTTGTTGTTTAGTCATTTAGTCGTGTCCAACTCTTCGTGACACCATGGACCAGAGCACGCCAGGCACTCCTTTCCTAGAGCTACCTAAAGACTTGTATGCCCCGAGGGAAGGTAGAAACCCAGACCAGACAGCTGATGCTATCAGCTCCTGAAAGGACCACTAGTTGGTCTGATAGTATTGTTCTATATTTTATACCCTTTTTTGAAGGTTAAGGTTGGCAATCACTTTGAGTGCCTTGGCAGAATGTGGTATAAAAATGTAACAGATAAATAAATTTCCATTAAGCCTTGTGGTTTTCCTGCTGGCAATAATAATAATAAACAGGCTAAAGCAGTTGAGGCCAACAATGCACAGTTGGCATGATGTTCGTATGTGCTTTAAATCAGGTCCTTCCACAATCAGGGCCATCTCTACCATGGCCCTGGGACCTTAGGGTGAAGGGGTGGGCAATAAATAAATAAGAATGAAGCAGGGTGAAGTGGCCACCTTGGGTTTATGAGGGGTGTCATTAAAGGGCAAGCAGGCTATTTTTACAACTTCTACTGCTGTCACTTCATCATTGGCTAACCCGCTCCATCCTATTTATGAGATATGAATTAATGGAAGCTATCGTGGTGAATATAATGTTCTATATCTCAGATAGCCCCAAATGATGGAAAGGTATTAAAGATGGCTTGGCATTAATAGTACAATGCAGTGTCACAGGCATACACAGTTCTCCCCCCTAACTCCATTTTACTTCACCACAACCCTGTGAGGCTGAGAGAGCAGAATGACTGGCAAAAGGTGAGGTTCATGGCTGAGCAGGGATTTGAGCCTGGATCTCCCCAGTCCTCACCCAACATTCTAACCACTATGCAACATTTATGTTATAAATATAATCTTTATGATAATTATTAAAGCAGGAAAACCTCACTCACTAAAGCTGCAATCATATCCACATTTACTTGAGAATAAGTTCCACTAAACACAGTGGGACTGACTTCTGAATAAACATACGCAGGAGTGGGCTGGGTGTCCCTGTCCCATGTCTCGACAAGCAAAACCAGGTCCTCCCTAGTATTATATACAACTAGAATAGACATGAAAACGTGCTTCCCCTCCATTATTCAGTGAGGTTAACACTGAAGGATATGTTGATGTGCAGTTAACAGTCCCTCTGGTTTCTCCCTCCCTTTGCCAAATTTGATGAAAATTATATTTAAATCTGGCTTCTCCTTCCTGTTTGTATTCAAAGCTAGCAGGTATTTGGCATTTAAGCCTTTCTTCCCTTCTCTGGGGCTACTTAAAGACCTATGTGCCTAAGGGAAGGCAGAAGAGAACCCCAGGCCAGGAAGTCTCTAATAATTGGCTCCTGAAGGAACCATCAGTGGGCAAAATGCTGAGGGCACTGTTGGAGCAGGCCCTCCTTTCCTTTGTTGTTGTTTAGTTATGACCAGAGCATGCCAGGCACTCCCGTCTGCCACTCCTTTCCTTGTTGTGGTTGTTTAGTCGTGTCCGACTCTTCGTGACCCCATGGACCAGAGCACGCCAGGCACTCCTGTCTGCCACTCCTTTCCTTGTTGTTTAGTCATTTAGTTGTTTACGACTCTTCGTGACCCCATGGACCAGAGCACACCAGGCACTCCTTTCCTAGAGCTACCTAAAGACTTGTATGCCCTGAGGGAAAGCAGAAACCCAGACCAGACAGCTGATGCTATCAGCTCCTGAAGGGACCACTAGTTGGTCTGATAGTATTGTTCTATATTTTATACCCTTTTTTGAAGGTTAAGGTTGGAAATCACCTTGAGTGCCTTGGCAGAATGTGGTATAAAAATGCAACGGATAAATAAATTTCCATTAAGCCTTGTGGTTTTACTGCTGGCAATAATTGTTAGGTTGTAGGCGAACATATCAAACAACACAGCGATTCTTCCAAAGCAGCTCTTTATTTGTAAGCTGGAACAGAACTGAACAGTAAACAGCTCAACCAGCCTGCTTTTATAGGCAGCCGGCTATAAACACTGTAGCAACAACAACCCAGGGTTTCCCGCCTAAAGTAACTGACGTGGACCTGAGTGAAAACTATATACACAATACCCCTGGTGGCCAGGGTGAGAACTTCAATACATAACACCCCTCCCCACCGAGATAAGGCATTAGTTACAATCATAGTGGTTCCATTACATACAGCAATACCCTTATTGGTTTCAGTAAGGCACATAAGCATATTAATTGACCCTATTCACCATACAGCTTTACATGTGCAGTTTGTCCAGTGAACATAGTCTTTTAAATACGGGCTACTGGCCTTGTGGATTTCCTGGGCGGAGAGTTCAGCAGCTTCTGAGGCCACGGCCTCCTCAATGGCTTTCTGCAGCGTGAGGTCTGGCTTGGCGAGGAGATGCTGTTGCAGACGGATGTCCCGGACACCGCAGACAATTTGATCCATCAGGGCATCGTCTAAGTCTCGGAACTTGCAGTGCATTGCAGCCTGTCAGAGGGTGGTGGTGTAGTTGTTAATTGACTCCCCCTCTGCCTGGTTCCGGTGGTAGAACGCATGGCGGGCAGCAATCTTGGACAGCTTTGGTGCGTAGTGGTTGCGGAGCTTCTCTTGAATCATGTCCCACGGCGCTGCCTGGACTGCTAAAGGCGCAACCAATGCTCGGGCCGTCGCGAACACCTCAGGGCCACAAGGCTGAGGAAGAGGCCCTGCTTCTGCTCTACAGACCCTCTTGTCAGCTCATTTGCTTGGAGGTAGCAGTCGAACCGAGTGAGGTAGGAGTACCATGATTCAGAGGCTGGGGCAAATGGCAGTAGAGGCATGAGTGAAGCCATGGTTCCGATGCCGACATGGAAGCGATGGATGGAACACCATGATCTAGCCAGAACGATCAGCTCTGAATTGGTTCTGCTCCGTGATTTCGCTCAGTGTTTCAGCTCCGTGATTCAGCTCATCTCAGAGGGTGGCCGCGTCTGGCTGTGCTCTGATGTCCATCGATCCCACCTTTGTTACCAGTGTTAAGTTGTGGGCGAACATATCAGACGACACAGAGATTCTTCCAAAGCAGCTCTTTATTTGTAAGCTGGAACAGAACTGAACAGCAAACAGCTCAACCAGCCTGCTTTTATAGGCTGCCGGCTATAAACATTGTAGCAACAACAACCCAGGGTTTCCCGCCTAAAGTAACTGATGTGGACCTGAGTGAAAACTATATACAGTGGTGCCTCGCAAGACGAAAATAATCTGTTCCGCGAGTCTCTTTGTCTAGCAGTTTTTTCGTCTTGCGAAGCAACCCTATTAGCAGCTTAGCGGATTAGCGCTATTAGTGGTTTAGCGGCTATTAAAGGCTTAGCGGCTAAAAGGCTATTAGCGGCTTAGAAAAAGGGGGGGAGCGAAAAAAATCGCAAGATGTTTTCGTCTTGCGAAGCAAGCCCAGAGGGAAATTCGTCTTGCGAAGCGCATCGAAAAACGGAAAACTCTTTCGTCTAGCGGGTTTTTCGTCTTGCGAGGCATTCGTCTTGCAGGGCACCACTGTACACAATACCCCTGGTGGCCAGGGTGAGAACTTCAATACATAACAATAATAATAATAATAAACAGGCTAAAGCAGTTGAGGCCAACAATGCACAGTTGGCATGATGTTCATATGTGCTTTAAATCAGGTCCTTCCACAATCAGGGGCATCTCTAACATAGCCCTGGGACCTTAGGGTGAAGGGGTGGGCAATAAATAAATAAGACTATGAAGCAGAGTGAAGTGGCCACCTTGGGTTTATGAGGGGTGTCATTAAAGCCCCAAATGATGGAAAGGTATTAAAAATGGCTTGGCATTAATATTACAATGCGGTGGCATTTAAGAATGTAATAGTCGTGCCTGTGGGAAGCCTTGCAAGCCGGACCTAAGCGCCACAGCACCCTCCCCTCCAGCAGTTCCCAGCAATTCAGAAGCATATGTCTTTCTTAACACTTGTGTTATTGACAGTTTCCCATGCCTCTGCTCTGATACATGGTTCAGAACCAGAAGCAAAGCTGTAACTTATCTCCCATGCATTACTGATGCTCCAGGTGCTCCCATCTTGGCACGGCGCTGAGCCGCATCTCGATTCCCCTACAAAGCCCAAGCTTGAGTGTGGACAGAAATAAAGCTTAGGCAGAGACTCTTCAGCTCCTGAGCCCATTTCTTCAAACGCTAGAATTATTGCACTAGCTCCTTCCGTGGGTTATTGAAATGTGAGACCTGTCAATTCTCTCAGCTCAGCTGCCTTTCCTGGAAGCGTAAGCGCGTCGATTGTGTGCAGTTCTACATTTCCAGGCAGCGGAACTGGAGCGCCTCAGCAGCCCTCGCCTTTTTCCAAAAGGAAAAAAAAAAGCGAGAAAGGAGGAGCGGTCCATGATCCCGCTACCTGACACCCCTTGAAAGCAGGGAGTGAACTTGGGGCCTGTTGAAGGCGGCAAACTTTCCCGTGGCGGCGGCGGCGGCGCCCTTCCCTCGGCGAGCCTAGCGAGCGGCCTCCGCCGTGGTCCCTCGTCGAGCAGCGCGCGGGGAGAGCGCTCGCTGCTTCTGCTTCTTCTTCTTCCTCCCCTCCTCCATTGTTCCCGCCCCTTCTGGTCTCCGCCGGCTGCCGCCGTTGCAGCTCCTACCTCCGGCCCCTTCCCCTTCCGCCGCCTCCATCTCAGGCTCTCCGGCGGCTGAGCGCGGAGAGCGCCTCGCCCTGCCCAGCCCCCGTCCCCGTCTCGGTGGGGAGGAGAGTCCCCGGGCCCCCCGGCGCCATGTCCCGGTACACGCGGCCTCCCAACACCTCGCTCTTCGTCAGGAACGTGGCCGACGCCACCAGGTAAGCGGCGGCGACGAGGGAGGCGGCCTGCGCGCACCGAGGGGCGGGCGGCGGGGACCTGCCCGGGGCGGAGGCCTCCTGCGAGGATGCTGGGCCTCGGGGGGGGGGGCAAGGCCTTTCCGCTTCCCCTTTTTGGGAGAAACGCGGTTTTTTGTGTGTAAAATGGCTGAGGCCCAGCGGAGAAACGGGCAGATAAGGGGCTGGGTGTGGGTCCCTGGAAGATAGAAGGGGCGCTTTCTTCTTCGGGGGGGGGGGGCTGCGTCTCAGAAAGGTGTGCGGCGAAGATGTGCACAGCGTGGCTCTATGGGCCAAGTAAAACGCCCCCTGCTATATTTTCCTATCGACTTTTTTCTTTTTTAAAATTAAAATTGTTTCTATTGTTATCCGCCGTCGGTCCCACTTGCCGGAAAGGCGGGGTATAAACGGAAGCAGGCCCCGGGTTGTTTTTTGAAACGTTAGTCACCCTCCTTGTTATGGAAGAAAATGAAAATTGATCTCGTTCCCAGAGGGCAACCTGCCCTGGGAAAACCAGTGCAATGATATTTATAGCAATATCTCTCCCTCCCCCCCCCCGCCCACCGCTTGGGTACAGGATGTCGCTTTCTGGCTAATCTGTGGGCGTGGAGGAGGAGGAGGAATTGGTTCCTAGGCATTTGCTAAGGGATGACATGGACCTCCATACACACTGCCCAGGGTTGTGCCTCAAGGAGGTCACTTTGGTGCTGCTAATGCGGCACTTTGATTTCACCCCCAGAAGGGCACTCCATTGTCAGAAAGGTGCCAACAAGCGATGTGGTCCTACAGGTACCCTGTGGGTTATAGTTACGTGGCTTGAAAGTTTGCCACAGACTATGTTCCATCTAGGCCAGTACAGTGGACGCTTGGGTTGCGAACGTGATCTGTGCGGGATGCACGTTTGCAACCCGCAGTGGCGCGTCTGCACATGTGTGGGTTGCAATTCGGCGCTTATGTGCAAAGCGTGACCCCCGAAACCCAGAAGTAACCCGCTCCAGTACTTCCAGGTTTCGGCGGGTCCGTAACCAAAAAAACCCAACCTGAAGTGTCTGTAACCCGAGGTAAGACTGTACTGTCTATTCTATCTGTCAGGGACCACAGTAGTATGAGACCTTTGCTACCACTATTCAACTAGACATTTAGCCCAGACCTTTTGCATCATAAGCGTTACCCATTTATCCAGGTCTTTGTCATCTTTTGTTATATTAGTAATTATATAAATTTATTCATGTTGGAAGCCGCCTTAAGAATGGTTTTTTAACTATGGAAAGGTGGCATACAAATAAAATGATCATAGATCATAGAAAGATAAGGGTTGTAAGGGAGCCTGAGGATCCTCTAGTGTCTAATCCAACCCCCTGCAATGTAGGAATATGCAGCTGTCCCATACAGCAGTGGTTCCCAATTAGCTAATTACTCAGGACACCCTATTTTTCAAAAGCCAAGCCACAGACGCCCTACTTTTGAAAATTTTGATAACTCTATGGTAGTTACCTCTGTAAAACAATTTTTTGAACAAAATGTGAGGTGGCCCCAAATAAGCAAAGGATTTTAGGTATACTAAAAAACAAACAGATCATAAAATTTGTGTTATTACAATGCAAAAATAACAAAAAAATTAGTTGAGGGGGAGGCAAGGGATGGGGCTGCGGACCCCCTGGGTGCGTTCTCCAGACCTCTAATTGGGAACCACTGCCATACAGGGATCAAACCTGCAACCTTGGCATTAACAGCACCATGCTCAGTCTAACCAACTGAACTGTATGTATGTATCCTGTCTAGCTATTTTTATCTGAGTACTTAAAAGCATGTTTTCAGTCAATTCTTCCCTGCCACTTTGCAACCCCAGTAATGAAATTAAATGGAACGCCACATAAGGTGACAAGATGCGAATGAAGCAGGGCATTGAATTTTGATAGTTGCAGCTAGCTATTAAAGTTATGGAGCCCTCTCCTCCATTGCATTTGCTTGCCTTATACATTTTTTGTTTTGTCTTGGACAGGCTTCAGTACTTTTGTGGGTTTTTAAAAAAAATTGCTAAAAAGTCTTCCCATATTCAGCTATGAGAGTCCTCTCTTCGGTGGGGAGCACTTTGTAGTGAAAGTTTATTCAGATAGCAGAATACAGCTAGGACTGCAGCGTTTAAACCATTAATTAGTTAGATGAATCACTTTCATAACTCTTTAATTGAATAAAAGTGCCCCAATTAACTGGGCAGCAATATTAAAATATGGCATTATCTTTAATATATGTACTTATAAATAGAAATGGCAAGCAGCATATTAAAAAGGTATCCCTCCTTTTTTCTCACATTAGGAATGCCTCCTCTAATATCAGACCAGCATCACACAGCAATGCATTATCTAAAAACCAAAAAAGCAGTACTATTGTTTCCCTTATATGCAAAATTGATATCTGTCTGCTAGCAAAAAATCTTTACCCTGTGCTCCAAGCATAGTAGGGTTTCTTTTGTTCCTTTGTAGGGCGTGGAAGACTCTTTCCCGCATGAGAACCCAATATGCAAAGAATTGCAAATAATTATCCTTTCCCCCTATGATTGAAAGACCAGCCAATGAATAAGGCATATAATTAAAAAGCTAGCTATTATATTGTATAACCTGATGTTATCCATTCTAACAAGTGCCCAATAATTACTGACTTGTGTGGAGTCTTTTGATATGTATGGAGTGACACCCCTACTTCCCAGTTATTCATTTCACAGAAAGGAGCAAATTTGTGCATGCTTTTCTCTGTGGGTTTGTGTAATCCTCACCACATCTAGTGGCAATGAATTCAGCATAATATTATTCATTGTGTAAAGTTATTTCTTTTGTTTCTCCTGATACTTCTGCCTATGTGAGGATGTTTGTCTTATGTGAGGGAAAATATATCTGAATTCATCTTCTCCATTCTGTGTGCTCTTTCATGATTTTTCCCCCATGTCTGAATCTTTAGTATATTTGTTTTAAACTGAAAACTCATTTTCTGGTGCCCCAGTCCCATGCTGAAAAAATAGTGGCATTATATTCAATCAAGTTGTTGACCTGTTTATCTCAGTACAGTACAGTGTGCTTCAGTACAGTGTGCTTCAACTGGTGTTTGATCTCCTGAGCGATATTGTAGTCTGACAAAAAAAGCAGGGGTTCCAGAAAGAGAATTGTGCCTTTGGAGAATTTTCAGTTGCAGGATTGTTGGCATTCATTTTTGTCTCTGCCCCATTTCTGCAAATCGCTATTAGAGTAATCACAATGCGAATGATCCAATACCAGGAAAAATACATTTAAGTGAACCCTAAACATACTAATAAGTTCCTAGCTCGTTTTAGTTTCAATAATTATATATGTTCAAAATTTATGGCTATGATTCCCAATACTGATAGAATTATTGAAAGTGTGTCTTTAATAGTCTTAATACACAAGATGATTCTGCTGCGGCTAGGTATTGCTAAAGCAGGTACAATGATAAAGAAACACTCATTCTTTTTGCCTTATTTCTAAAACACTTCAGGCCTGAGGATTTGCGTCGTGAATTTGGTCGGTATGGCCCTGTAGTAGACGTATACATTCCGCTTGACTTCTACACAAGACGCCCAAGAGGATTTGCTTATATACAATATCCTTTATGTCACTGTATTTTTTATTGAGGTGCATTGTTGTTATTGCGTCCTAACTTAATGTATTTATTTCTTTGTCTCAGAAAATGTAAAGCAGTCCACAGTGGCTGGCAAGCACCCCAAAGTTTGAATGAACCTGGTTAGATAGAGTCCAAGCAGGCAAGCCAAAAGACACCTTAAAGTTCAAGCTTCAAGGAATAAAGAGGGAGGGTGGAAAAAGATAAAAAGAAAACTGGAAGAGGGGAAGTCCTTTTTCAAGGAAAAGACAAAGCCACAACACCAAGTTAAGGCTTCGGCTTTCCGACATTTGCTCAAGTTCCAAAGTCAAAGCCAAGTCTGATTTGGTTGGTTCTCCGGCCCTTGTCAAGTCCATCTAGCAAGCCCTAAAGAGTAAAGGTCAAGATCAAGTGACGTGGAGGTAACTGCCAAAGTTTCCTTTTGTATCTTATCGCTCAAGCTCTTACGTTGCAGTCAAGAATTTGTTTGTTTATAACTGTTTTAGTTTAAAATATTGCTTCCTTGAATTGGTACAAGACAACTGTATGCAAATATTTGTTCGCTTTTCCATGAGTCATTTTCCTAACAGAATAGATTTCATTGGAATACTGAAATATATCAGTAATTTAGATGATCTAGTGACATATTTTTGTGGCATTTACAGCTATTTGTTTTAAATATTGGGAGTAAAGGAGGAGGAAAAACAAGTCAGCTGTTTATAGATATGAGCAATGTCTGCAGTAAATCAGAACAGAAGTAATGAACTGAGGCTGCTTACCTGAGAGTAAGCCACATTGACTTCAGTAGGACTTCCTCCTTAGTAGGTAATATTTCCTATTAATGTGTCAAGTTTAAGGGCCTTCAAATAAGGTGCACAACTTAAATATTGTTGCTTTAGTTCAGTTATGCATTAGAGATTTAGGGACTCCAAAATACACAGCGAGTCCCTTCCTGCCATTCCTTTGCCATTCAGATCTGTAGAGAAACAACTCTGTGTGCCCACAGACATGACATTCAAATGGAGGGGAAACCACTGTGTGTGGGAATTTCATGTGCATTTCAGTGTACACATGAGTTTCTGAATAAGGGCACCTATATTTTAAAGGCATTTATTATTACCTTGTTTCTGCATGTCATTGAGCTGCCTCATACTTTTTGTGGCAATCCAGGTATACTGACTGGTACTTGCTGTGACACACATACAAAGTGTGAAAGAAAGATGCACATCTTGCAGAATTTTGTGGGCCTTGACACTTACTGGGTTCCCTTGAGAAAGATGGGGCTTGCAAAACAAAGCGGAGATGACAACATGACTAGGGCAGTGGGCTCTGACAGATGCCTGAGCTTGCCATTCTCTGGAGTCAACACTGTTTTGAAATATGCATTGTACCCTGGCCGGGGAGTTGTGGCCAATCCTAGTTTCCCAGCGTGCTTGTGGTTGTGTGTCCTCCTTCCATACATACATATATGTATATACAACCAGACACACTGCTGGAGTTCTGCTGTATTTGAGTGGCAATATAAAGTATGAAGCAGCTCTCAGCTTAAGTGGCATATCAAAATAACTCTTGCTTTTTAAAGTATCTGGAGTAATTTGGTCTATGTTACATGATACAATTTTTTGCTTTGTGCATGTTTAAAGCGTCCTTAACAGACAGTCATGTTTGAAGATGTTCGTGATGCAGAAGATGCTCTTTATAACCTCAATAGAAAGTGGGTATGTGGCCGGCAAATTGAAATACAGTTTGCACAAGGTGATCGCAAAAGTAAGTGAACACCACCTTGTCACTTACTTATTCTGCAAAGCATTTCTTTAAGATAGTTGCCTTTCATATCTCTTAAGATTGGAAAATAAAACAGGCACAAGCTTATAAACTCTAGTTTTTAAAATTGCATGCGTGCTCAGTATGTAAGAAGCTGCAGTTTTCTTGCGATCTTCCAGTTCTGCTTTAAATTCTAGCACCAGGTCAGATGAAATCGAAAGAGCGGCGCCAGTGTTCTCCAATGGACTACAGAAGGTCAAGAAGCCGTAGCCGAAGGAGGACACGTAGCAGAAGTTCTTCATGGGGCTGGAGCAGGAGACATTCTGATAGTTTTAAAGAGTAAGTCTGAGGATCATGAGACAAAAATTCAATTGCATACTAATGATTGTGTGTATTATGTTCCAGGAGAATGTTTGTGAACAACAGTGATGGTAACCAGTGAGGATAAGGTAAACTTGAGCTGGTCCTGCAAAGGTTCAGTCATCCTGGCTCCTTTGTAAATAATTTGAACACTAATACTGTACAGGTAATACTGTACTTGTTTATCTGGTAATAAATCCCATTGAATGCAGTGGGGCTTACATCTGAGTAGAAATGCATAGAATTGTGCTGTGTGGCTGGCTATTCTCAGGCAGGCAGGCAATGAGGTAGTATAGCTTCAAAATTCTGGCACTACATTTGAAATGTTGGATTAAAATGTAAGTATTAAAATCATCTTGCTGACTGACTCCTAGTGAGCTCATTCTCGTTGCACCAGGTTTGAAAAAATAAAGTTTTGAGACAAAGTAGATTTTGTCTGAGATAGTAACAATGCATAGATAATTTTTAATAGCTTGTTATTCCAGTCTGAAAGAATAGAAGCATAAACCATGGGAATCCTCAAAACTACTCTTTAAATTTTCCTTTTGAAGTTTTGGGGTACTTTTGGCATACAGTACCGTTACAAAAACAAACAAACAGTACCTCAAACAAATTAAGCAAACTGTTTGGGTTACAATGCTCCTTAAAAAGCAGGAGAAGATCAAATATCGCTTCTAATGGAGCTTTGGATGATTTTCAGGTCAAGGCGTAGACGACATTCTTACAGCCAATCTAAGTCTCGCTCAAAATCTCTTCCAAGGCATTCCAGCTCGCCCAGACGATCCATCACCCCGCAGAGAAATTCTAGTTCTAGGGGAAGGTCGCGATCCAAGTCACCCCACAGAAGTTCCAAATACGTTGAAAAGTCACCATCCAGTTCCCATCGAAGACGTTCCGGTTCGAGAACAAAGTCACGATCACATCCAAAACGTTCCGGCTCAGCTACCAGATCCCTGTCGAAATCCCCTCGGAAACATACTAATTCCAGTTCTCGCTCACACTCTAGGAGCTTCTATCAGAGAAACAGCAACCAGTCAGTATCTGAAGAAGATTAATGCCTCTATTTCTTTAACACCGTTTTTTATGAGCACAAAATAAGGAGAACAGAAATTGTCCAAAGCTTATATGATATGTAAGGTAACTGATAAATGAGAGATCTTGCTATGTGCCCTTTCAGTCCCTGCTTCAGTGTGCAGAACTCCTTTTAAGATTTTATTTTTAATTTTTAAAGAAACATTTACCTAGTCTAGATTCTATTTCCCTGGACTTGGAACCCAATAGTAGGCAATCCTGTGCCCAAGTTAAGCTCCCTGCATCCATGCAAGCTGTCGTTAGTCCTGGCAGTGATGTAACTTCAGCTGCTGAAAGACCAATCAGCTTTCCTTATCAGAACTGTAATTGCCTTTTGCTCCATGTTCTTTCAGTTGGCAGAACCTAATGTCAGTTTAACATTGTGCTGGATAGAAGCTGTATGAGAGGTTTCCTCCTGTTTAATGTGGGGATAGAGGCAGAGCCATTCAGCCATGCCCTCCTTGGCTCTCGCATAATGCTTTTGTAGATATTGTAGTGCAAGCAAGGCTTGTACTGCATATCTACACCTGGAAAAGGGCAGAGCTGCTCAACAAGTAGCCTTTTGCTATTCGTTTTAACGTGACATGAATTGGATGAAGCTACAGGTTGTTTTACTTCATTTTGCTGTTTTCTTTGGCATTATTTTTCTGCCTGCTTTATTGTCATACCAAGAATAACCAGTTCAAATCTGAGTCTACTGTTCTTGTATGTTCTTTGGGAAATTAGGGTCTTTTGTTGAGGGTGGGGGGTGCTGAGGGAGGCATTATAATGTGTGTGTTGAGTTTGAAATGCCATTTCAAATTCAGGTGGTCTAATTGTTTCAGATTAGAGAAGTACATTAGCAGGCTAGTATGGGAAATTTTGTATAACATAGGGTAGTTGGAATCTCACATCCTTCCGAGTTTATGTTTTTTAAAATATAATTTATATTTAAAAGCCTAGCAATTTATTTCCATTTGGGGGCTCCATTTTGAAAGAGAAGTGCTAACCGATCTTAATTAACTTCTATCGAAATCCCAATCTATAGATCTGCAAGCACATTAAAGCTTTTGGAACTCAATTTTCTTGTCAAATAGATGATGGGCAAGAGGGAGAAGGAGTACCCAGATAGCCTTTCCTTTCCTTCACCAACGTACAGGCTGTGCATGCAGATTTGGCAGTGTGTTGGGATGGGGTGCATTTCAGTCTGGTCTGAATATGCAGCAGAATGAGGTACAAGTAAAGGGCTGGAATAGACTGTACTGCTTCATATGGGCAATACCACTTTTGAATGCTCTCTCTGTTTTTTTAATTCCCAAAGGCAATGAAAATAGAAAGTCATATCAGGCAAATAGTTTGGCTACAATCTACTCCCTGTTGTACTTACCTTCTATTGGTAGGGAGTGTTTAACATAAGGGAACATTCAAAATGTGATTTATCTACAAACCGGAATTGGTACAGTTCACTCTATGAAAACATTCTGCTGTATGTGTAAGATACAGCCTCTGATCCTGTACAGTGGTCTCTCAGCATTTGGAAAGTGGATGATTATCACATTGTCAGTCACTGGATTGTGACTAATGCTTAGTAGAAAGCAGTCTAATAATATGTGATGGAAATTTAAAAAGTGGTAATTGGTTATATAAAGTCATTTTGTAATACTGTAATATAAGTTGTTAAGCACATGCTTTTCATGTGTAGTCAAAACATTTTTGTGAAACCCTTAAAACAGTAATATTTGTAGTGTAAGAATCTTGCTACATTATATATTTTCGAACTGTCATTGTATTATGAGATTAATGTAGAAGACACCTTCTTCAAACATTTTAAAGTTCTGAGCCCCTGAAACTATTGAACTATTGAGTATAAAATAATTATTGGCTTGTCTAACCCAAGTAACAGAAGGTATTCTGAAAATACTTTGTATTTTATAATATGTTACATTTGCATTGTGTAGTAATGTTTGGGAACCTATAATTTGTGTTTAAGTGTATAGTACTAGCTGTGATGTCTGTTACATGGTACAAGCATTGTATTAAGTAACTGTGGTGGCAGTAAAACCACGTTTCACTTCATGAGCAATTATACAATTTTGTGTTGGAAATAGCATTATTGTTATTTCATAACTTAAGATATTATTTTCAATAAAACACATAAAGTTCCTTGTCATTCCCTTTTACAAACAAACAAACACTTCATAACAACTGTGCACACCAGCATAGCAGAGTGTTTCGCATAGGGGAAGAGTGACTTGCCCAAAGCAACAAAATTTATCTAGGATTGGGTACTTAATTTTGTTCCACACTGCAGGAACTTGCTTCCACACTGCTGCTGCTCACAGTGCCAGGTTAGATGAGAAGTTCAGAACCATACAGGAGGGCTCATCTGGCAATAATGCCCCCTGTGACATTAGCACAATGTTTGAGGGTTGAGGCTATTGTGAGGAAGAGTTGCAGCATGGACTTCTCCTCCTGTATGATCCCAGGCATGTCACACCACTGAGAAGACACGAGATCCCGGTTTTATTGTAGATCTGCACATAGGGAATAAGATAGTAAGATGCTGGGCTACTGCTGCAGTTCAGACTGTAGAGTGGATTTATTTATTTGCTTTCCCCCATTTTTTGTAAAATGCACACATTCATCCTTGCATGCAGTGGTCAGAACGCTCAGAAGAAAGATTAAGTGTAGCTTTCTCTGTTTTCAGTTTACTACATATGTAGATCTTTTATTGTTTGGAGCATTAAAAAAAGAATCTGCAAGAAACAAGAGGGAATAGCAACATAGTCTGGGAAATGCTAAGATTTGTGGATGTATTAAATAAGATTTGGGTGGAGACTAAGGGAGGACCCCTCAAAAAACACAGAGTGAGGACTGAGCACAGTTAGTGACCACAGAATGTGTGAGAGGTGTTGGATCAATCCATCAACCTCTGATGGATGATTTAGAAGGATTGGGTCCAGCATCACTTTTGCTGTGTGTGTATCCATACTTGGCCGTTACATCTCAATGCAACTCCTTCCTTGGAAGCATCTTCAGGTTTGAAGGTACACAAGTAGGCAATAAGCGCTCATGGATGTCATAAAGATTCAGTCAAGTGCAGAGGTTTACTTGACAGGCATAAAAGCATACTGGTAGCAAATATATACAGACGTTTACCACTGCTGTGGTCAAGGCATGCTTAGAGTTCAACAAGAGTCCAAGACTCACTCACTGCTCTCACCACCAGGCTCAAGCAAGAGACTGAACAAGTTACAAGAAGTTTCACTGAACCATTGTTATCATTTCTTCCTGTGCGTGTCCTTACATAGACAAAACAATCTCAGCCTTCTGCTGCTGCTTGAAACTTTTCTGTTTCTGGAACAAATTATTCTCTCACACAGAATATCCAACAAGTGGAAGAATGGAAAACTAGGAGAGAAGGAATGGAAGGAAGAATACATTGCTAACTGGCAAGAGCCAGAACAGGAGCACTCTACCCAGCAACCTTCTGTTGCAGGTACAGCTTGTTCTGTAAAGTTTGTAGATAAGTTATTAATTAGCAAAAACTAGTTCTTAGAGTCTTGGTAGAAAGTTAAGCTCACTTAAGTATACAGTAGCAAAATGGTAAGTTCAGTGTTAAGAACTTTTTGAAAGAGATTGAACAGCAAATACCTGTTCAGCACCGAAATGACCTCCCCAGGGTGTATATACCGGTAATCTTAGTGCCATTACAGTGGTACCTCGGAAGTCGAACGGAATCCGTTCCAGAAGTCCATTCAACTTCCAAAACGTTCGGAAACCAAGGTGTGGCTTCCAATTGGCTTCAGGAAGGTCCTGCAGCCAATCAGAAGCTGTGGAAGCCCTGTCAGTTGTTCAGGTTCCAAAGGGTGTTCGCACACTGGAACACTCCCGGGTTTGCGGTATTTGGGAGCCAAAACGGACAAGTACCAAGGCATTCTGGATCCAAAGTACGACTATATACATCCATTACATGCTGACATTTGGAATATTGTGCAGTTCTGGCTTTCCTACCTCACTCAAAAGAGCCATCCTAAACCTGGAAAAGAAATAAAGCAAGACGTAAATGTCTATAACTTACTGAATTACATAACAGAAGATGTATTACAAAGGAACATGTCAAGCTTCCTTAAGCTAGGGAGCCCATTGGACAATCTAGTTCAGTCTGTATGTCACCAAGTTTCCAAGGTCTTGGAGGACGTCTTTCATAGGTCTGTTCCCCAAGATTCTTCAGCCTAGAGATGTACGGTAACCTGGAAGCTTTTGCACGCAAAATACTTTTTCTACCACTGAGCCCTGAACGCTATGCCCCTACTGATGGATACTAGCTCAGAAAGCATTAAAGAGATAAATTAATGGAGGACTGTGCTATCGATACCTATGGCAGCTGAACAGAATCTTGCGCATATTCCTCTGAGAAGATACCTGTTGCTTTCATACCCTTTTTGTGAATTTCAAGGGATAGCTGTGTGTTGCTTTTGGAAAAGGGTGGTCCCTTGTAGAAGTCTCGTGCTGCATCTCATTTCTTGATGGGAGGTGTGCCTGTAAGTGCCCTCTGCCATCCCTTCCCATTACTTACCGCAAGAGCTGCCAACTGAAATACAGCTAGTTTTACGAGCCTATGGATGGCTTATAAACTCTCACAAATGACTTATGTTGTACAGAAGAAAGTGGAAATGTTCTGAATGTTCTTAATAAGATCTTATGTTGTATGGCAGAAAATGGAAATTTTTGATATTGGAAAGTTATGAATGTTCTTCATAAGATGTTTTCCCCATTGGCTCTTACATGCTACTTAATTTCATAGCTTTCAGCGCTAGCATAAATGACTTCATACCTTTCCCTCTTGTTTTTGTATCCAGTTTGAACTGTAAGTACCATTCTTTTTCTCAGTTTTTTCTCTTATGCTGGTCACCTTCAGGCATTTTTTCTTCTCCATTTACCAATTCTGCATAGAAGATACCAGGAAGATGGTCCGGTATATACCAACAGCTCGTAAGTGAACTTTCTGTCCGGCATTTTTATTTACATTAATCTCTGGGACTTTGAATAAGAGCAATACATTTTTTAAAATAAAAAAATATGGGATATATGTTATGTTTTTTTCAAACAAAAATAATTTATCATCATGGTTTTTCAGTTTAGATATATGTCAAAGCTGCTTATAAAATCTGTTGAGAGCTAATGTAGCTTTGCATTGAGCAGTCCAACACCTTCCACTTTAATTTCCTGAGAATGCCGCTGAGTCATACACTGGCCCAGTCTACACCCCCCCCAAAGGGATTCTGGCATCAGATCCAGGGGGCACTCTGGTCTATCATTTACTTCTCTCTGGATTGGATCCAGAGACACACTTGTGGAAGAAATTATTGCACTAATGCCATTCCATTAACAGTGGTAAATGAGCTAGTGGAAGTCTGACTTTCCACAGGAGATTGTGCAAGACTGTGTGTAAATGAAAGAATAGCTATCTCTAGATTTCAGATCTCTTGCATAAGGATCTTGAGCTAAGTCAGAAAGAAATCCTGCTTGCAGAAGTCAGGACGCCTATGGATCTAGTTTTCTATGCCAATCCTAAAATCCTAATTACAATGGTTCTGGTATATGTTTGTGTTAAGGGACGCGGGTGGCGCTGTGGTCTAAACCACAGAGCCTAGGGCTTGCTGATCAGAAGGTCAGCGGTTCGAATCCCCGCAGCAGGGTGCGCTCCCATCGCTCTGTCCCAGCGCCTGCCAACCTAGCAGTTCAAAAGCACCCCCGGGTGCAAGTAGATAAATAGGGACCGCTTACTAGCAGGAAGGTAAACGGCGTTCCGTGTGCTGCGCTGGCTCGCCAGATGCAGCTTGTCACGCTGGCCACGTGACCCGGAAGTGTCTGCGGACAGCGCTGGCTCCCGGCCTATAGAGTGAGATGAGCGCACAACCCTAGAGTCTGGCAAGACTGGCCCGTACGGGCAGGGGTACCTTTACCTTTTACCAGCAGGAAGGTAAATGGCATTTCTGTGTGCTGCTCTGGTTCGCCAGAAGTGGCTTAGTCATGTTGGCCACATGACCCGTAAAAACTGTCTGTGGACAAACACCAGCTCCCTCAGCCAGTAAAGTGAGAAGAGTGCCGCAACCCCAGAGTCATTCACGACTGGACTTAACTGTCAGGGATCCTTTACCTTTTTTTTTAGGATGAAGATACACTCAACAAAGTAGAATTTACCTCTGTAAAAACATGCATAATATGCAGCAAACTATCTTACCTTTTCTTTGGTGACCAAAACACACTTTTGAGTAAACATGGTATATACCCTGTTAAGACAAAGAAGAGACAATTTTTAACCTTAAAAAATTACAACCTAAAAATTATGTACTGGAGCATATGGTTCAGTGTCTGCTCTTTTAACTTGTCATGCCATATGCGACTAATTCATGCAAGTCAAATCACTTTGCAGAAGCATGGATTAAAATTGATTGTTACGGTATGCAGTTTAACTGGGACATAGAACAGAATGCTAATCTTATCATTTGCAGTTGTTCTTGTTTAAAGATTGTTCTGAGACTTGGAATTTTGCCTGCATAATTGTTTTGAATAAAGCTGAATTTAAAAGAGATTGTTGCTGAACCCTATTTATTAAAGCTAAGAGTTGTCTGCCAAAACAAAGTCTTTTGATCTGAAGCTTATTGTAGTACAGTATAGCTGGCAAAGGCAACAAAAATCCACTAGAGGGTGCTCCAAACTTTTTGTATATCTCAGCAGGAGACTTACTATGAACATGTCTCCCTCTTATTTACATTCCTTTTTGTTTTGAAGACACGCTAGGAACGGCAAACAAGCAGAGAAGGGCATACAGTTAGAAATGCAATGGAATATTTGCTGTATGCCAACTGGAAAAATAATAATGTGGAGATGGGATACAGTAGACAAGAAGCCTAGGAGGCAATAAGCTGCTCCTGAAATGGCAGCAGTTCCTCTTGGGAGATCTTTCTTCCCGTGCAAATTCAGCTCTATAAATCCAGTGCTCTTTTTTTAGACCCAGTTTCTGGCAATGCATGTTTGTGTGCGTGTTTTTCTTATGTATCCACAGTACTAGCCCAATGTAGATTGACAAGAACTAGTGTTGTTGTTTTTAAGCACGGGGTAGGGTGGGGGTTGGGCAAAAAGGAAGCTACTAAATA